TTTTCTGTAAAACTGGAAAAAAACAGCGGAAAGAAATTCCCCTCACAGTATGTTTAAAACCAGTTTCCAGTGGCAGCTGGCAAAGGGCGCTTGGGCAGCCCAGTTTTGCCCCCAGCAGGCAGGAAGCTCTTTACACCTTACACTTATGGCTGCTTCATACACCATTTTGAGTTTAGGTTTTTCAGCCCAAATCTCAGTTTTTAACCAGGATTTCTAAACTACTCAGACCTTAGGATAACTCCTGTCAGAAAGGGTGCAGGGTTTTTACATACAGCACTATGTGTAATTAATTTCGAAACGACTTCAGGTTAAACTGTATGTAATGAACTATGTAGTTTCTGTTGGCTACAGAACTCCACAATGGTTTTTTAACCTTTCTTTTCCTACTGTTGTCTCTCTTCTGTCCTTGTTCTATTAACTGTTTTCATTTAATTACCTGTAGCTCTGCTTTAGTATTATTGTTTTCTTTATCTCCAATACCTAAGAACTCTAATCAGTGTAATCCAGTGTATGATAAAATAACATTGGATTTCTTTGAAAATCTTAAGATAAAATGAAAAAGCTAAATACATCCTAAAACTGATTTAACTCATTCCCTTCCTTGGCAAAATCAGGATGGTACCTTCAGGACAAAAAGCGAGGAAGGTGAGCAGAGCAATGGTGAGCTGAGCACAGCAGGTCCCACTGGCAGCTCAGCCCTTCCAGTTCATCTATTTCATTCTGCTGTGATGGGTTACAAGGCTCTTAATAATTGCTCTTCATAGAAACATTAAGACACACTTTGAGGAAGAAAACGGTATTCCAGTACTTTTCTGTGAAAAGGCTACAAAGCTCCATGAAGAAATGATGTGATCAAAAAAGCAGTCACTTCAAGGGAAGACCTTCTTTGACTAATATCTCATTATAAAACCACAGATCAAATTGGTTCCCCATAACCTTGTTCCCAGAGGTTTTTGAAGCCATCGGGAGGTGTTTGCTTGTACTTGTCAGTGATGTTAAACTAATGGGGCTGTCCTTCTTGCTTCCCTCTCATAGGGAAAAATGCCAGACCTCCGAGGCCACTGTAATTCCTTAAAAACCAAGGACTTTGATGTGGCTGCTGTAGATCACCTTTCATCCCTCTCAAAAAAAAAAAAAAAAAAAAAAAAAAAAAAAAAAAAAAAAAAAAAAAAAAAATATCACACATATCTGAGGATGCAGCCTTAAAGGGGAAAGGACAAATATGTTTAATGAGTTGACATGTCAACGACATTTGCACTTGAGGCACCTGCACGGGCCCTGGGTGACACGGCGTCATTTCCCACACGCTTGGGGGCACCTGTGAGGCGCCAGCACAGGCTCTAAGACAGCCTGGGCTATTTGTCAGTGACTTGGTGCGGGGCCGGGGACATCGGGCCCGCAGCCCCGAGGGGCCGCCGCCGCCGCTGCCCCGAGCCGGTACCGGCCCTCAGGGAGCGCCCGCGCCGCCATCTTCAACGGCCCCGCCGCCCTCACACAGGTGGGACCCGGCGGGGACGGAGCTCCCCGGGCTTGGCGGCCCCGGCCCCTATCCTGACCCCAATCCCGGCCCCGACCCCGACCCCGACCCCCGTTCCGACTCCGGCCCCGAGCCCCACCTTGTTCCCAGCCCCGGCCGCTCTGGCTGCTCAGCAAAGGCGGAGCCGCAGGTGGTCGCGGGTCTTGTGTCAAAGCGTTTTGCGGTCCAATTTTTATAAAGCGAAAGCCGCGATTTTAAGTTATTTTTCCCCTTAATTCTGCACGTTGTGCATAAAAGCTTTGCCCGTTGGAGCAGCAGTAGTCTTGCAATAGCTTATTAATGGTCTTTCTGCTCATTTATTATGGTAACTTGTATTTTGAGAAAATATATAGTGGTGTTACAAACTCAGCTTTAAATATTTAATATGTGGAATTCATTTGTCTGGGAGATACTAAAACCCTTCATCAGTGATGAACTGCTTTCCCTGGCGTGTCCCAGGCACCATAAATCAGCTCTGGCTTTGGGCCCATGACGCTGAGTTATATGTATGAACAGTCTTGGGTCTAAGCCTGTGTGCCCTGCCAAAAATAGTGTATTCGTGTCATTTTTCAATGCAAATTCCTAGTATGTGCAAATTCACTTTATTTTGCTTCACAGATACGACTTTGGAATTAAAAAATCTTAAACATTGCTTTTCCAACATTGGGATATTGATCAGAGGCTTGTATTCTTATACTTATGTAAATAGTGCCTTTTAAGATAAGGGGCTAAGTATGACTGTGAAGGGTTTTAGGTCTGTGTGAGTCTGTCCATCCTGTCTCTCCTGGATTTAGAACAGTGCTTAGTACTAATTATGTTAAGAAAGCATGAACTCTGTTTGCATTTGCTGTTTGTGAAATACTCTTTTTGCTTGTTACTTTCAAAGGACCAATTGTTGGGATCCGGGGCTACATAAACACCAAATATTACAGAAATATATTTAAGAAACTGTCATAGAATGGAGATATTTTTGCAGAGTCCTGAGTGTCTTGGGTGAATGGAAGGAATAAGGGGCCCTTTGGATACTGCTACTTTATTGTTCATGTAAGAAGCATGGTGAAACTATAACCAGAGTCACTGCACAAACCAAGACATCACAAGGTAAATTCGGATAGAAATCTGTTAAAAAATAAATATCTTTCATTGTTGGTTAACTTTATAAATTACTTTCTTGATTATTTGTCATTGACTGATATGTTAGGCCTGTGTTTCCAGTTGGACAGACATTCATGGTTCAGAGTAATAAAAAAAAATAATTTTGACCTGTGACTGAAAAATTATAAAGACATGGTTCATGGTTCAGGGTAATAAAAAAAATAATTTTGACCTGTGACTGAAAAATTATAAAGCTACTAATTTATGGCATTCTACAGAGATGTCATAAAACTCCTATTTATTTGATATCTATGCAAAAAAATTGAGGACTAGAATTTCAAATTGCTGTTGATTTTTTTTTTTTTAATAGTCCCTCTGGATTTTAAGTAGTCTTGGATTTTAGACTTTCTGGAGGGACTGGGAAGAGGAAAGGTGAAAAGAGGAAAAATACCACAACTATCAATTTTCCAGACTGTTCTCTCCTTTAAGAATAGCTTACTATAATTCAACACAATAATACTTGATGCATAATAGAAGCACTTTTTAACATTACCTCAGTAATTATGTGACAAATATGTCGTTCACTTAATGGTTTTAGTGGCTACCAATCTTAATAGCAAAGGTAATTTCTAGTCTTCATTTGTAGTAATGAAACTTGGTAAGTTATAATTAAGAAATATAGGAGCAAAGATGTATTGCAATGTCACTTGCAGTATTTTTCCTGCCTTAATGAAAAACAAACTGACATTTCGCTGATTTCACAGAGGTGTTTACAATGATCAGATTTGTTGCTGAATGACTTGTCCAAACACAAATGCTTGTAAACTTAGGGTCAGTTTCCCTTCCACTGAAGTTAGGAGGAGTCACCTGGTTATGAATTTGGTACCTACGACAGTCATCTGTTTTCTGAGTCTGCTTAGAATGTGTTCTGCAAATTAGCTGATAATCTGCCTTGTCCATATGAATGTCAGTTCGAAACACAACTGCACTGATGACAAATTTTAAGCCAGAATACTGGTAGTAGTCCCTGAAAGAGATGAGTTCGTTTTTTCAGTCTCAGAACTTAAAACTTTTTATGCAGTGACTTCTAGATTAGAATTCTTCACGTTTATTTAGTCCTAATATTTTTCCTGAGAAGTAATAAGGCATAACAGACCTGCAAAATATGTGAGTGCTGTGCTAGGTGCGTGATGCTTGGCAAGTCTGAAACTGATCTTTAAAGCAAAAGTTAGTAAAAATACTTTGACCCAAGGGAACAGCAGTGTATTCCTTTGCATCTCCTTGACTTAAAATTAATAATAAATAAAACCTGGGTGATGGGAAAATCCTCAGTCCTAGAATGACAAGAGCCTCAGAGTGTGAGTTACAGGGGTACACTCATCAGGAGGGCTTGGCTCCTGTCTCTCATTCACTGCAGGTCCTTCACATTCTGCTCTGGCAAAGGGAATCAAAACAGATTCATGGTGCCACTACTTCTCACCAAGACATGAATCATACAATTTTGAGTAGTTCTGGCTTGTTTAAAGGCTGTAGATAATAATAAAGATAGGGCTGCAGACAGAAAAAATGAACAGTGATTTCAGAAATAACTGATCTTTATGTTAAGTGAATATTTAGAGGGAAGGAAAAGGCTAATACACTTGCTTTAAAAGTGCATTCTTCAAAAGGTATTTCTAAAATGTCTTGTTCATAATTAAGTAGTTCAATATAGCTATTAGTGTAGTAATTTTTTTAAAAATGCCAGCAAGCAGAAAATCTCTACAGGAAATGGTCTAAAACATAGGATAATGCAACTGGTGTTTTAGAAGTGCAGTGACCCTATTAGTTAAATTTGATCAAAGTACTAACTACAAGTTTTGATAGGCCTGTTACAAATGCTGTGGTTTTTAAATTTCATTTTCCTTAGAATCAAAAATTTTTTAATTAACTAATATTTCTGGAAACAGCGTGGGATAAATTTACAATATCTGATTGTTTTTCCATTTTTCTGATGTTTCTTCCATGTTTTTCCAAGAATGAGAAGGTCTTCATTGATTAAAAATAAGGACTGACATAAAATTACTGGTTCTACTTGGAATATAAGCAGAGGCAGCCCTGAGTACTTGATGCACAAAGAGAATGTTTTCCAAGACAGGGTCAATATTAATATTATTTTGGTGTTAATTCTTTTGCAGTAGCACTCTGATGCAGTTGATAAACATTTCAACTCAAAAAAATATTTAATAATAGTATTCATATGTTTTAAAATATGGCTGGAGTGTCATTACAGGATTTTTTTCAGGTCAAATCCTACATAAAGTTGTTTGTTTGTTTGTTTTTCAGCATAGCTTGCAAGTGTCTTTACTGACTGAGAAGCTAAAATTATTTTCTGCCTATGAAAGCTGGAAAAATGTTCAGAAACCACTACCAGGTAAAACAGAAATAATTCTAATTTTTAACCATTTTCATTTTGTCTCTGAGAGAGCTGAATTAAAATAGTTTATCCTGAGATGCAAAAAGTCCAGCTACAGGAGTGTTTTGGAGTGTTTCATGATTCAGTATTTTTGTAGAAGTGTTATGAAGTAGTGGGTAGCTGTCAGGTCTAGAATGGGCACAACATGAGTTTGCCAAAGGCTTTTGTTCTTCACCTTTGTGGGCCAGGGAAGGACATCTGCTTCCATGCAGTCATGGAAGGAGTCCCAGCTCCTAAGGTGTAGTCAGAAAAGGGGGTTGGTTTATTCCCTTGGTCCAGCACAAGCTTGTGACAACAGCAGTCACATTATTTGTGACTTCATTATCCCTTTTACTCTTTCCTGGCCTCTCTTTCCACCACACTTTGCCCTCCCTTTCTCTGCACCAGTCCCATCCTGAGAGAACAGCCCACCCCAACTACATTTTCCCCACTGGTCCCACATGTGCTACTTCTGTACCCAAAATTGGCATTTCTGATGCTGTTCCCTAGGCTGTCTCAGCTTTTCATGGAATTTCTGATGCCTAGCTGCCACTGGCTTTATGGGATTGTGCTCCCAAAGATGCCCCATACTCCCCTCCAGTTGATTCTGGAGTTTGGCAGTTTCTTGCCTAACTTCACTGGGACCCCTCGTGCAACCCAGCCATCCTCCACAGCACCAACTTTTGTCAGCAAAAGTTGCATCACTGTTTGTTTGACATTTTCTCTTGTCATGTCTGGTATTTTCCCATGTCCTGTCCAGTTTAACCTCAATTCAGAGCCAGCTCAAGGGCTGTGCTATTAACAAAATATATTTGTAAAGATGGAAGAAAAAGCCACTTGTTTAAGATTTGCTGCAAGCACACAGAGCTTGGCAGTTCAAAATCTTTTAACTTTTTGAGCGCTTGATCCTGTAGCCCTTAAATAAATGAGGTAATTTGGAAGTTGATAGTATACCATATTAAAAAAATCATCCATTGTAAGTTTAAAAAATATTTTGAGTACAGTTTGTGGACTGCCATTTTGAATTTCCTTAAAACTTAGTCCAGTCACTGGAATCAGCCATGTGGCTGGAGCTGCCAGGTGTGTGTGGGCAGAGGAAAATACCTAATTCATATACACTGCAGAGTTGATGTTCTCTGAAAAACTAATCTGAGGAGCATTTCTTTTGCTTGCCCCTCTTGCTCATTCTGACTTGCAGGCAATTGCTTGGGCAGCTGAGCATAAAGAGAATTGGGGAGTGCAGGCAACTAGAAATGAGAAGGGAATGGCAGAGTTGTAATGATTGATTAGGTCAACCATGCTGCTGAAAAATGCTTAGCAAACTGCAGGCTGAGTGCATCAGATGTCACAAAAAATGCGAGATCAAATGGCAAAAATCTAGAAGCAAGTAATTCCCTAAGCAGAGGTGATAAAGCCAACCTCCCCAAGAGCCTGTGTTTGGATTCCTTGATGTCCAGTGCTCTGTGTCAGGAGTTTTCACCTGACAGGGACATCTATAATAATCTTTTTCCAGCAGTAATTCTCTGTTCCCTCATGAAGGCTGTAGCCCTAACCCTTTTCATGGTGATACTGACTGGAACAGATCTGCTCCCAGGCTGTTTAAGTTGGCCCAGAAATGTTAAGTTGAATTTTTGTTTTTTCAAATCCGGTTGAATTGTGGTAAGTAGAAATTACTGCAAAATATGTAGGCAGAGCCATTCACATATGTAGACAAATGATGTAAACTTCATTTCCTTTGGAAATCAGACAAAACATCCAATCTGCAACACCTTTTGTTTTTTTAGCAGCATGTTTTAAAACTTACTTCATTTGGCATATTGTAGAGATAAATCTTGTCCAAATATAAATTAGTCATCTCTTGCATGGTTTTTGAATATCTACAACAGTTTTGCTTTTTAGAGAATGACATAATAGATAAAATAATTTTTAAATACTCCTACAATTTTATCTTCTAATCCTCTAGTAAAGCCAAATATTGACTACAAGAATTGATATGTTATAGTAGTCTAGAAGTTGTTATTGATATTCTGCTGTCTGACTGATCAGTAGTACTGACTATCATGTGGTAACAACATGATACAGAGGGATTCTTAGGTTCTCATCTTGACCCTTGATCATTTAGTGCTGAGCATTTGACTGGCTGATGTATCCTTAAACCATTTTGTCATAGGGGGGCCGGTTTGTTGAAATATTCAGTGCTCAAGGCAAGAACCCAGGAGCAAAATGGAAGATTTTTGGCAACCCATCAGCTATATCAAAAGTAAGTTTTTAAAGAAATCTATAAAACCTAGAGTATAAACCAGAAAAATGTGAATGAAGCTTAAAATTAGAAGGTAATGAGGGCTTTGACCTGACAGTGGAGTTTTCGCTTGCAGTTCTGTCATTTTGGCAGACTAAATGACTACTTAAATTACTTCTATATGCCTGCTTGCAGACTGAGTTGGTCACAGTGTAATTTTACAGTTTAAATATTTAGAAAGTAATTTTGGCACTCTGTTAAGCAATGAATTGGGCTTTGCTCACTGAATCGTGAATCCTGTTTGTCAGCAATATTTGTTCATAAAACATACAAGGACAAATTTGTGTGGATTATATTTTTGCCATCAAATGTGAACCAGTCATACATGCAGTGCCATCTGCATTTTCTGATGTTACTAGCATGGTTAGTTAACAGGAGGAGAATTCTATCAGGATGCTTATGTTTGTTGTTCCTTTCTGTAGGAATACGACAAAGAACTAAAAGGCTTTGTTTTTGTACTTGAAGGAAACAGTCTAATCAACAAAATGAAGCTACCAAGGGAAACCAAACAAACTTGTGAGTATCAAAAATTAAATGTCTGTGATGCTGTTCTGATTATTACATCAATCTTATACTGGAATGCTAAACATTATTCTCCCTTAGTTTAGGTATAATTCAGCATAGGAAAAGTTTTTTCATTAACTTTTTAGCAGGTCACTGACAAATAAGTACACTTAGAGAAATGCCATATTAGAGTAAGTGTTGTAGGAAAGATCTAACACGTCCTGGTGCTGCCAGTTCACTTTGTACCTGGTCCTGCTAAAGACTGATAAATAACCTCTGACTCCATTCACCACTTACTGCAGTTAGTAATTCTACTGGCATTAATTAATGTGAACTAGGTTCTTGTCCCCTTTCTTATTTTACATTTTAAAGAATTTTTACTTTTGTATCAAATAAGCACTAGTGGTACAAGAAAGTTACACCCAAATACCCAAATTTCCACTGTGTTTATGTAATCAGTGTTTAAGGGTTCTATGGAGTGTTTTCCCAGGATGTCTGTTGCACCACAATAATCCAGAATCCAGGCAGTCTGCAATGCAGAAGTCATCATATGCTTTAAACTCCATGTCAGGGTGCTGTACCTTATAAGGCTTGTGGGAGTGAATTGAGCTGGCTTAGAATTAACTGCTTGCTTTTGAAGACAAATTGAGATGGATTTAAACAAATGGAATGGGAATCTTCTAGTGTACTTCTAATGCAGGGTATACAGTAAGACATAAGTTTTTTTCCAATAAACACAAGAGAAAAAATAAAAAGAATAAATTCTTTGGGCTGGTGACTCTGTAAGGCCTTGAAGTTTAGTCTGATTTTCATAAAAGAAATTGGCTGTTATCTTCATTAAAATAAATATTAATGCAATGTATATTTTTGAGAAACCAAACTCATTTATTTTCAATGGTACAATAAACTAATATAGCAAACAGTAAAAAATTAAAAGAAGAACAATTGCTAACTGTTGCTAAATATTAAAATGAGGATTAAGAATTAATTGTGTGGGTAATCACTGCTAAAAGTACTTTGGTTTTAAATTTACTTTTGCTAATGCTGCAATACTGCAGTCAGGTTTCCATCTGTTACCATTCTGTTTCCTTCTGTCTTGGTCTCTTCCTCTCTTGAGGTGTATGTGCCTCAAGTATTTAATTAATCAAGTATATGGTCTCCCAGTTGCACTGGAACTTCATATAGTCTTCCAAAATAAAAGATACTATATATGCAAATCTAATTTGAAGTTTTAAGGTGTCATTTGGCCCTCCAAAGAAGAAAGTTCTGATTTGTCATTCTTTAGAGGAGGAGCCAGTGTTTCTGTTCAGGCTCGTGAAGTCAATGAAAAGCAGCCTGTGTCGTCCCTGATGGAATATCTAAGAAAACAACATATGCTTCAATTCAGCTTTGTACTGTTTTCCCTAGATAGGGAGCTACCTGCATCTTTTTGTTTTCTCCCTTAGTCAAACTCCTTTGCTATTATTCTAAAAATCAGAAACCTCCACTGAGCAGCATTGTCATGATCTGAATTGCATCCTTACCCAAGAGTTTCGTTGAAGTTGCTTAGCAAGGTGTACATTGTCACCAACACGAGTGTAAATGTAATGTGACTATAAAATAATCTTGATAGCACAGTATTACTTCATTTTATAATTCTTATGGGATATTTATTGTCTTCATGCTCTTGGAGCACAAAAATTGTAAGCTAAAAAAAAGGTTTCCTTTGCTTTCATGAGAATTCCACCAAAGCCACAGATGGGACTTTTAAAACAATACTTTTATTGCAGTTTGAATTGGATTTCTTCAGGTTTTTCTCGTGTTCATATGTTGTGTGAACCTTGGGAAATAGTGTTGTAGGAGCATAGCATATGGTACAAAATCGAAATGCTGGACAGTGAAATGTGCTTCTGCATGCACACAGCACTTTTTTTTTTTCCTTTTTCTAGTGGGACTGGTGCAGCAATTTCTGACACTTCAGATTTTTGTGCCATTGGGAAAAGACTTCTCCACTGAGTTACTGTAAGATGCATAAAATTTCTTTGAATACTTAAAGTGAATTCTTGATTGTGGTTATTAATTGTGGTGGCATATTTTGCATTAAAGCATGGTGACTTGTCAAGTCAATAAAAAGTAATTAAGCTAATGAGATCATTATTTCTTAGATGTTTTAAATACTGACATTCCTTTGAAGACAGAACAAACTCAAAAAAATCGTGAATGAAGATGATGAAAAATCCAAAGAAATTAAGCTCAAATTTGTCAAACATATGAAAATACTAGTGCATGAGGACTGCCTGAAAATTCATAAGAGACTTATTCATAAGTCATAAGAGAGGGCCCTTTGGTCCAGGGCAAAAGAAATACATATTCTAGTAACTGGAGGAGAAAAACACAACCAAACAAATACTGAAAAGCTAGAAAAACTAATGGAGTGCTTGATGAGTATCATTTGTTCCACACTGTGAAGAAAGAGAGATACAGCAGAAGCAGACATTTTATTATTTAGGTGTGAAATGATTTAATGGAGTTTTAAACTTGGGCAGTTGTCAGGCTTTGGACAACATTTCTCCCTTAGTGACACCATCTGTTTATACTATATATAAACAGCACAACTCACTCAGCTTTGTAGCCTATAGAATGTCTGAGATTGGACTAAGAAAAGAAATATTAGGCCATTAGAAGCCCTGCAAGAAAAGATGGGTCGAATGATATCAATTAAATTAGCAATTAAATTGTGTAAAGTGAAAGAAGGATTTGATTTTTGTTTGACTTTCTGTAAGTTTGCATTTAAAGGGACAAAGGGACAAAAGAAACAGGATATGTCATGCAGCACACAGAGACCAAACACCAAGTACCAACTCAAAACCAAGATTTGTTTCACGTTCATTCTGTAGGCAGGGGCAGAGATTTAATGACAGGTGCAGGAATTCAGATTTTTTTGTAGTGTCATCTTCAGTTTGATTCTTTTGGGTATTTGCCACCTTCTTAACAAGAACCTCTTTTCTACTTCTACTTATTTTATTTTTCTCATTGCTTGCTTTTTGATAAAAACGTTTTCTATCACCTCTTCCACACTTATTTGCCTTTTCTCTTTCCAGCTTATATTTAGACTTCACATTTTTTTCATCTTCTCTTTCTACTTCCTGTTCCCATCTTTACTATGCCACTCTTATAAAAGAAAATATATGTTCTTATTATATTCTTAGGTACTTGTATAGATTTAAATACGTGTATTTTGTATTTGCTATATATATTTTTAATGTAACATATACTGTATTGCTATATAATGCATATAATATAAACTATATTACCTATATTTTCTCTGTAGCTCCAGTTACTTGGAATGAAGGTGTTTATGTCTTAAAAGTACAATATTATTTGTTCCCCACTTAGTACAACTGAATGAAAAAGTTAATAAAAATTCTTTAAAAATATACTTAATATTGAGTTTTACATTTGAAATCCACTATAACTTTATAACCCATAAAGTCCTCCAAGACTTGCAGAATAGTCAATGCATTATTTTATCCTAGCAGACTTAAGATAATCCAGTAAATAATAAAGACAAGTCCTTCTTGCCATGTGACTGCTGTTCAGCTCCCTTCTTTTCAGATATTTTGAAAGAAATCTCTTGCTTGTTTGCAGACAGAGTGTTGATGGTGTTATTACTGCCTGAAGTTTAGTGTTCAAAGATGGTTTCTTATGCAACCTGACTACTTAGTGCTGAATCTTTGAGCAGCTTCAAGTGAAAATTGATAGCATGCCAAGCTATGAAATTTACTTTATGTAAAAATCACTGACAAGTTTTGTAATAGCTGAGCATGAAGCTTTATGTTGCATTTCTTGCTCTCCCATTCTGCAGAGAGATGGAAATAGGAATTTAGTTTGAGCGTCATCTTCTTTTGCATTCTGTTCGGTGATTGATTTGGTCAGCAAACAAGAATTTCTTTAAGACCATCCATCACTGCTGGCATCAGCAGAGCTAAACTGTCTGACTTGCTGTTGTCAACCAGTCATTCGAGATTCCTGCCATAAATACTGAAATGTGCAAACCATATATTAACTGGTTTGTCTTTTCTTCAAAGGAAATCTTAATAGAATTTTAGATACTTTTTTATGTGGTATGATTAGATGAATACCACCACGTTAACAGTCAATGTATTGATCTGCATAAAAATGTGTAAAATAGATTGTGGATGAAAAATTTGATGAAGCATAATAAAATCACAACTAAGGTAGAGAGCTTGTAATTTATGCAGCTTCTTTGGAGCAAATAATAGCAAAGCTATTAGTAATGCTGAATATAGCTGTCTGCTGCAAATGCAGTAGCCAGTTGTTAAATCTTCAGTGTTATGGATTTTGCTACTTTTCTGAAAAAGCAAAGGTAACTCAGTGTTTGAAAAAATATCTGCATGTAAAAGAAAACAGCATCTGGCTTGTGTTGTTAATTTTTGCTTTAATTCCCAATACATGGACATGTGGGTGTTAGTACTTCTGCTTGGCATTTTGACAAGCATTCAAACATTTATTCTTAAAGAACTGTAATGGAAGTCATGGTCATACTTTGTTTCTGATACGGTTTTTCTCAGTGTTGGGTATCACATGAAATTAGCACATCTTTTTACAGCAAATGAGTAGAGCAATTGATGTGAGGAAACAGACCTTGAAATTGTACCACAGCAAAAAAAAAAAAAAAAAAAAATAAAAAAATAAAAAAAAAAAAAGAGTAGACTGATCTGGTGTAAGAATAAGGAGGAGATGCTCAATTCCTGGTTATGTACTGAAACCTTTTGGGGTCTTGTATGAGTCCCTGTGTATTGCTCATTTTTTTCTTAATTCAGGCATGGTACTTACATCCATTGCTGCAGCTCTGAAGTCACGCTGCCTCTCTCACTGATGGCCAATTCATGCTGCTTCAAACTTGTTTAAATCTTAGCATAACAAACAGCTGTAAATCACATGTGGCACAACTTGTGTCTAGGGAGGTCTGAGTTCTCTTATGAGATCCCCTCAGCTCTGACATGAAAACCTGCAGAGCACGCGTGCCCCTTGTCAGTGGGAGCTGCTGCTGCCCCCAAGCCCAGACCTGGTGCTCGGTGTTAACATGCCGTGGGGCTCTGCTGTGCTGCCACTTCCTAGAATCACTCAGTACCTCATGGACCATCTTTGCTGCCAGAATGTGCTGAGGATTCGCATGATTGCTCATTCACTCTAATGGTACCTATGTCTCTTAATTTAATTCTTCCTGATGTTCCAGCCTCAGCCTTTCAACCTTTGCTCAGCTGGCAAAGTGCTTATCAGCAGGTTGGCTCAGTTACTATCTCACTGTTCAGAGTCAAATTAGCTTTGCTTGCCACTAGCCTTAGCCAGCTCCAGAAGGCATCAACTCTTGTTATATTGTGAATTAATGTAAACTCTGTGAGAGTTTCACACTCTGGAACATACATGTTAAGTTTTCTGTTGAAACTAGAAGGAATCTGTGGGGGAAAAGGGGTTAAAATCTCTTTATTCCTGAAGTAGTTGTGCTTGCTGATAAGAAATCTTATTGCAAGGCCTGTGGACAGTACAGTGAAATATATATTTTGGTACCATATTTCCTGTTTTAAACAGTTGTTTCTATAAATATAAGCTTATTACTTTGAGATTTTTAATAACCACAACATAATAGGTTTTACAGGCATAGCTAATTTATTCATAGATACCGTAACAGTTTGAATTTATGTGAGTTAGGTGCTATCATAATCAGTCATCATTTTAGCTTTGCTGACAGAGATATCATAAATTATTCATGTTAACCTAAACACCCAGCATGTTTTCAGATACAGAACAATATGAATCTTGGTTAGTCTTGCAAAACTTAGACCAACATCTTAAAATTCACAGCAGGACAGAGATGCTAATTCTATCATGTGCATCTGAAATTATTGGATGATTTTAGATGGAGACTGGAGGTAAACTTTATTGAATAGATTTAGCTGAGAGATTATTTGAAATTCTGGTATTTAGTAGCATGAGACATGTTTGTTGATTTTTTTTTGAAGCAGGAGTGAAATACAGAAATATTCTTAGAAGTATTAGGGTATGTTAAATTTCATCATTTGCAAAGGAGATTTTAACTCATATATTTGCAAGTAAAAAAATTTTAATAACTCTCCTAGTAACCACATCTTCTAGAACTTTAGATGGAAGCACTAGTAAGTATAAGTACTAAAGTACTAATTATTTATATTTTGGTTGGGAGAGGTTAGGATTCACCATTTCTTCATAACTGCTCATATTTTGAAAGATTTTCATTCTAACAACCAGATTTGATGATTCTTGTTTTGTACCTGCCACTTGTGTTACTCCCTCTTTATGGATACTGGTTAAGGGCATTTTGTGGGGCTTTTTCCTTAATACTCTCCAGAAAAAAAACCACTATCAACAGGAAATTCCAGTATACAGTACAACTTGTTCTGTAGGTCTGGGTGACATATCAGTCTTCCAGATCTCTTGTTTTGTAGAGATTTGATGATTTTCAACGTAACTACTTCTGTTTTTATGAGGGCAGGATACATTGCTCTGGATTGCAGATCATCAGGCAGCCACTTCCGTAACCCATTGTCTCCTACAAGACCAATTTACAAGTAGCACATGAAATAAAATGTGTGTGAAGTACAGGGTGCCTCTGAATAAGAAAATTTGAGAATCTGAAAACATGGCAAATCAGCCAACAATTGGTATTCCTTTGTTTTCTGTCTTTAAAATGGAGGTGATGGTGATAATGATGCTACCATGTCATGTTTAGGAAGCACACGCCTTTTGTGGAGAAAATGGCACTACAGTTGTTAAGTACTAATACACTAATGTACCAATAGTGAAGCATTAGCAGAGAATTCTCTCTGGATTTTGGCCAGGGTACAAAGAGATTTCTGTTAGTATTAAACTGCATGGAAGCTTAGCAACATCGATGAAATACCTGCTTTCATGTTTGGTAAACTTCCTGTTTATATCATTTATAAAAAGAGAAACACTTTCATTTGAAGACCAAGTGATCCTGAGAAATGAAGCATCCCTTCAACAGTTCAGTATTGTTTTTCCTAAGTTCATTTTTAGTCTTGAATTGAACATTAACAAATGGTTATAAATTATTATCCATACAGAAGCAAAGTGAATAGGCAATCTGAGCAGATGAGTCTATCTGTGCTCTTGGGTAGTTGCTACCATTCACTTGCAATCTCACTATAGTTACCATTGTGAGGAAAATAGTCAATCAAATTTGAAGATGTAAAATAAAATTGAAAATTGAATTGGAAGGTAATTTTACTTTCAAATGGCTTGCAAATGTAGATGTTAAGTGTGAGATGAATGCAGTTAATGACCATAGCTGGAAGAGTTATGCACCTGCTGATCACAGGAATATTATTATAAATGAGGTTGATTTTCTTGTTGACCACCTCATTTTTCTCAACATGGTCTCATTACTTTTCTATCACGTCTGACCCTTAGATATAAATACTCAAGCACAGACATAATAAAAATACATTAACTCCCATATAGATTTTTTAAATTCATCTTTGAAAATCAGGACGTGTGCTGCAGATGTTTCTTGCTGTCGTAGGTTTAACTTAAGTTCTGCTTTTGGATAGCAGGAAAAAAACTTGTGTGTCACCAAAAGTACTCCAGAGTAATTTTGTAACTGAGAGATCTGATGTTCTAGCTCTCATTGTCTGAATTATTTCAGAAATTTCTTTATTTTTATTTTCCAATAAGCAATGTAATTGAAAAGTCTGAAAGTTACACTAACTCTTAAATAATTATCTTCCTTCTCCTGGGAAATAAGTTATTTTATATCATTTTAAGCCCATCTTTTTTTTTTTTTTTAATTTGCGTGTTTGAATGTTTCACCTACGTTTGCCTGTGGAACATAAGTATTTTTATTATTTTAAATGTATTTACAGAAATAAATTACACTTCTTTAGGAGTGATCATATCTATGCATCTCAGGTTTGCCCCTTCCTTATGGCACATCTGTTGTCATAAAAAGTCTTACTTTAGACTTGTATGACAGTCTGATATAAATGTATGTCTTTTGATCTTAACAACTGTGTTCAGTGTTACATTCTGGAATGTAACTGAGTTGTAAATTTCCCAATGGCCCTTCTATAACCAAGGTTCTTTTTAATTTTTTTTGTTGTTGTTTTCATGAGGGAGAGAGATAAACCTATTCCTGTAATAAAGAAATAAATAATAAAATTTAAACATATTTAATTGATAGTATAGAGTGAACTTAGGTTTCATTGTCAGTTGTTTGGAGATATGCATGACTTTTAATTCTAGGCTCCTACTGTTCTGTTATAGCCTCATTTAAAGCAACATTCTCTGTTGAGAATTATGCAGTTTGAGGTTCAGGAGGGATAGTATTTTTGTTTCTCATTACTCAGGTTATTGCAACTGCCTGGTTTCTCAGCATAATTGCTCAGATCTAAATGCAGCCAAGAAATCCAGGGAGTTTCAAGCAGCCACTGCTTTGGACTTTTTTGGTGCACCGAATTTTAGCACTTCTGAACACCCAAAATTTAGAGTGAAGAGCTTCTGGAAACTAGATTCATAGGTTTTTCACCAAAGGCTATATGGGAAGTAAAGTGATGGGTGGAACTATGCCTTAATCAAAGGCTTAGCCACGTGGCCCATTTGTTGGTGATCATCATGGAATTATTTCACATCTTGCTTAAACTTCTTTAAAAGTAAGATCAAACCCAGGTGCCAGCAGTGTAAGACACTGGGAGGTGTTCTGATGAAATCACTTTTCAAGGACTTGGTATAATTAGTCCATTCATAAAAATGTGTGCAGCTGATTCTGGAATCTTTCATGTCAAACAATAGCAATAGTGAGGATATAATAATTTTTTCTTGGCGCAGTAGTGGAATTTCTGATTTTCAAGTGCATGTGATTTTTAAAAGGAACTGCCAGTCTTTAACAATGAAACAGATAGTAGAATCTTCCATTTTGTTTTCATTTGCCCCCCACCCATGTTATGAGGATGAATAGATTAAAGGTCAGGTTATCTGCAAGGGAGAGGAAAGAATCAGCAAGTTCTGGAAAGCTGGTGAACAGTTTGCTTTGGAGGATAGTCTTAATGACTATGGGGGAACCAGAAGGTGCTTATGTATTTTCATTGCCTGTACTGGCAGCACGTTTTGATGTTCACATAGTTGCAGTATACTTAGTACTGTGCTTGTTTAAACTCTCAAATTGGTAAAAATAACTAAAGTATGTAATTTGCCCCAGAGTTAATGTCCTCCTAAGTTGACCTAAGGAAACCTATGAATGTTTTAGGGTGTTATTCTGCAAATTTTGGGTGATGGCATTTCGTTATTTAAGCTACAGGTAGTTCTTAGCTAATGAAAAAATGTTTTCTGTAATAAATTAAAAAAAAAAAACCACAAACAAACCAAGGCTACAGGGCAGTCTCACTATTTTAAAGTAAAACCCAGCATTTGAATGATTATGAGTAATGACTTTTAGCAACACTAAGTAGTGACAAAAAGTTGGTTTTTATAAGTATTTGTCATCTCAGAGGGGCTGCTAATTACAGAGAAATACCCATCTGTTAGAAATAGGCTTGTTCAAAATAATAGGTAAATTAATCATTGTTTCCCCATACATTAAGCATATTCTCCCAGACTGCAGCCTTTAAAGTAATATCTGTGCTCTGGAGTGTTGAGGGAGGACTGTTGGGGAATGTCAAGGCTGTGCTGCTGTTGTGGTTTCACCCCAGGAAGCAGCTGAGCCACAGCTCAGCCCCTCTCTCTCCTGGGGAAGAGAATACACAAGGCTAAAAGTGCAAAACCTTGTGCACTGAGATAAAGACAGTTTAATAAGGGGAGCAAAAGCTGCACATGGAACCAGAATCTAAACAAGGCATTAGCTCCTTCCCATGGGCCTGCAGATGTTCAGCCATCTCCAGGAGCTCAGGGCTTCGTGCTGTGTAACGGCTGCATGGGAAAACAACGTGGCTCTGAGCTTCCCCCATTCCTTCTCCTTCCCTGCAGTTCTTTCTGCTGAGCATGGCACCGTGTTGTCTGAAACATCCCCTGGGTCAGCAGGCATCAGCTGTCCTGACTGTGTCCCCACCCAGCCCCCCATACATCCCCAGCCTGCTGGCTGGTGAGATGAGGTGAGGAGCAGCAAAGGCCTTAGCTCTGTGTAAGCAGTGCCCAGCAGCAGTGAAAACATCCCTGAGTTACCAACTCTGCTTCCAGCACAAACCCAAAGCACAGAACTCTCCAAGATACTCTGATGAAATTTAACTGGGTCCCAGCCAAAACCACTAGAGCTGCTAACAAGACTTGAAGGAAACAGGACATAAAAATGACCCACTTTATCAGTTTAAAGGAGACCCTTTTTTGTGTGTGTGTGACTGTGGCTGTAGTCTGAATTTATTCGAAATGTTGAAATTCAGTGTCCTTGGTATCATTGTGAGATGACCTGAATAGTGAGCAATAAACTTCTGCATTATAATTCACCTTTGAAGATAAGTCCTCGTGAAGTAAAACAAATAGACAATGTATTGTGTTTACCTTTAAGCTGAAAAAAATCTATATGCAGTGACAGAGGCATTTTTAGGAAAAGAAAGCAAATAATGTTTTTCTAGTTAGCAGGCCCCAAGATAAGACAAGCTTAAGGGGCCAAAATACGTGTGATTATTAAAGGCTACTTGGTTCTTAGTTCATCCAAATTGAATTCTTTCATACTCTGAAGGGCTGTGGAAATCTAGCAAAGAATGTAGACTGTTGAAATGAAATTAGCATGCAAAGTGCTTTTATATATGCAGGGATATAGCCACGAAGTTTGAATTAGAGAAAGTAATCTCATTACCCATCTTGTAAAAGAATTTCTAAATTCCATATTTGCTGTCACTGACATAAAGGTTTTGCACATGAACAGGTTTTTTGTGATTTCCCAAAGATACTGGATTATTGAATTGACAAAGATCTGTTCCATTCTCTCCTGACTTTTCTTTTATAGGATAACTGATTTTGACAATATTAAAAGAAGATTGTATTTGTCAACAGTCCACAAGGAGTTGTCTGTAACCCCTCTGCATGCAAAAATTCCTCTGTTTATGATCAAGCGCAAAATAGTAGGTACCTTGAGAATATTACCTGGACTGAGGTTGAGCATGTTTTCTAATCAGAAATATTTTGTGTATATTATGAACTTTTTGAAATTATTGCTTGTTTAGAACTCAGCTCCTACTGATACTTGTGTATGTCCCCTTTACCAGATGGCAGCAGAACCACTTAGTGCTGCACCTCTTCTATCCTTCTTCTTATATTATGAATTCATTCTCATTTTACAAAATTACTGCTGTTTGTGATGCTTCTTAACCTTTCCTGTTGATCCAGCCTCTATAAAATTCTCTGTGTCCCTGATAATTCTTCATGATAGTGCTCCTGCTCACGTGTCCCTTCTCCTGTAGTGACCTCCGATGACATCCACTGCAGGTAGGCTGTATCTGATGGCTGCTTTCACATTCCTCAGGTTCTTCCAAGTGCTGGTATATGTAGAACAATCTATGTGTCAAACTGATGAGAACAAAACAAAAAACTTTTTATTCTCCTCATTCCCCTCTGCCATGCCCTGCCACAACATATGATAATACAGGATACAAAGCCTGATGGTTACTGTATAACCATGTAAGGATTGAAGTCACAAAAACTGCTATAGAAAATAAACTTGATATGAGAATAGTTAGATTTCAAATATTTTTAAATGTATATTTGGGTGAAGAGAACTAGATAACAGTGTACTAAGCAGTTGTGAATTTAAGGCTAGACATGAGAGAGAATATTTTACAAAAAAACCCTCTGAATTTATAATTTTTTTTGAGATAGGTTAAGTAATAGCAACTGTGGTAACTTCGAACTGAAAAGCTTTCTACTTTGTGGGAAGAAGTAGTTGGATTATTTTTTAATGAATATGTATCAGATCATACACCTGAAGTTGCTGTTAATTCAAAATCCAATGAAATTAAGTTCTTTTTCTTCAGTGTAATTTCAGTTAGTTGGTGTCAGACTAGTACAGGTATTTCAGGATCAATGTGTGCGTTAATGTACACCAAGTTAAACTCCAGCAGAAGATGAACTTCAGTTATGAATTTTAATTTCGATCATAAAGCATGAATCAGATATGTCTAGGTGCTCTGATCATTTATAATGACAAAATATTTTAATAACCTTAATGCTTGACCAACCTTAAGGAGTAGATCTATATTCCTTAGTGTATCTGAATACATATCTGTCTCCCTTAAATGGTTATCTGCCTTTTTACCATTACTTTTGTTTAAAAGAGGGAGCATGCTGCTTTCAGTGATTAGACAGACCTTTTATGTGGCTCTGATCATTCAACTTACTGTATGCACAAGCTGATTGTTATTATCAGCATGAGGGGTTGTGAATCAGGATATATAATAAGTTGTTTGTTCCATCAGCAGAACATAGTTTGCATTTTCACATGCTAGCTTTCTGTATTGTATTGCTACAAATTATTCCATTTTTCAACCTCATCACTAGAAGTATCAGGTATAATTAAATACTGGATTTTTCAGTCCATTGCTTGGTGTCATCAAAACAAGTATTACATTCCTTCCAAAATTTCAGATTTAAGACCTGAACAGTAATGTATGCACCTAAATTTTTCTCAAAATTATTTGCTGCTTGTTGATTAGAAGCTAATATTTCTACCTTGACTTTATAAGGAAATTAGGCATGTACAATCATTATGTTTTTACTTTTCTTTTCCCTTAAAATTTCACCCATTGATCAGCTAAATTTAACACATGAGTACTCATATAAAATATATTACAGTTCAGCAAATTGAATGAAAATTGGAAAATTCCTGCATTTCAACTCAAGGCTGTCTTGTTTATTTGTATAGAAGGTGTGTTAGCCTCAGCTCATGGGTTTTACTAAAGAGTATTGTTTCTCTTTTCTAGTGGTGCAATATGTGTATTGACTTGGTAACGTTTACCTATAAAATATTCAGAGGAGCTCTCTTCCAGTCCTTGGATGGAATTACTATTTCAGCCAACTGTAAGCTAAGAAAGGTCTTCACTTTAAAATTCAAGCCTCCAGTTACATCTGAGGAAGATGGTGTGTTTTAATTACTGTCTAGTCTTAATCATAACTGTTCATGTTATAAAATCAAAAGCTTCTTATTCATCAGATTGGAAATTTGAAGGATTACATGATTTCTTAAAAATTAAAGCGGTACTACAGCCTATTAAATCTGCTAGTGTTGGACTTAGGGCAACTAATTAAATATGTGTGTACTCCTGTGTTTTAAACACTGAATTCCTTAGAAGTATTTTATTGAAAAAATTCTGGCAAGATTTATCAAGTAGAGAGCTTGTTTTAATGGGGGTATCTTATGCTGATAGAAATCATATTTTGGCCAGGAACATAGTATCTGAGAGAAAAGATACTGAAAACAGCAGCTGTTTGCTTTCTTAATTTTGGATGTTAGCAGCTGATGAAAGATTTCTTTCTGAAATAATGCAGACAAAATTGTAACAAAACATTATATGAAACAGAGCTATGAAACTATAATAAACACCTCAGATCATGTCCAGTTATCCTAATGTGGCCTTGTTTATTGTAAGTAATATTGGTGGTGAGCTGAAAAACAACAGGGTTTTTTTGTAATAGATGAGAATACTGGTCAAATTTACCAGTCTCCAGACTCGCATCATAATCCTGAATCATCATTTTCCAAGGGGAGAACTTCATTCCTCACTGGTATTTGCAGTAATACAGGAGAAATTTCAAAAGCACAGCTGGCACTTTCTTATTTTAAAGGCACTCCTAGGAATAACTCAGCTTCTATTTCATTCAAATTTTCATTTTCAGGCTTTTAAGGAACTCACCTGAAAAACGTTTCTGGTTTCAGAAGGAGTTGTAGTTAACAGTATTGTAAGTGTAGCAAAATGTATCTTCCATTTGGAAACAACCAACCAATAGGGGAGAGTAGGCAAACCTTGTGATTACTCTTCTGATTTTTTGTTGGTAAGACTGGAAAAAATATTAATTAAAAAATGTCTACAGAGAAAATATGGTAAATTCTCAGCAGGAAACTGCAGTTCAAGCTCTCACTGGCATTAATTTAATTTAATTCCATTGGTGCATTTTTTTTCCCTTCCATTCTAAACAGCTTCTGAAATGTGCTTAAATATTCTAAATGAGTTCCAAAATTCTAAAATGCAGCTAACATAATGAGCCAACAGCTTTAATAAACTGTAAGCATACTAAAATATTACACTTTTAATTACTTCATTATCAATTCTATGATTATTACACAGCTGGTGGGCATTAGTAATTTCTGTGTGCTTTTGAATTTCCTTATCTAGGCAACTCATAGAATCAGAATCATGGAATTGGTTAGGTTGGAAAATACTTTTAAGGTATTTTGAGTCCAACAGATAAGCCAGCACTGCCAAGGCCACCACTAAGCCATGTCCCTAAGAACCCCACCCACATGGCTTTTAAATAGCACCAGGAATGGTGACTCCACCACCCTGGGCAGCCTGTTCCAGGGCTTGAGAACCCTTTTGATGAAGAAAGTCTTCCTAATATCCAGTCTAAATATCCTCTGGCACAACTTGGGGCTATTTCCTCTCATGTTGGTACTTGTTACCTGGGAGAAGACACCAACACCTACCTCTCTACAAGGTCTCCCTCCATGCTGAGCAACCCCTGTTCCCTCAGCTACTCCTCTAAACTCCTCTAGACCCATCTTAAATTTCCATTGCAGCTGAAGGTTTGGCTGAATTTAAATGATTCTATGTTCATACCCAATTAAAGAAAAAACAATAGTAAAATTTTTTATTATTATTAATTAAGTTTCAGATAACAATTACTCTTTGATAAAACTTTTTCCCCTCTCAGAATAACTGGACCAGTTAGTTGAGCCCCACTGAATGCAGTGGCATAGCAACTTGTATTGAGAGTTGTGCTTTAACCTTGGCCAGCAATTAAGCAGCACACAGCCACTCCCCTCAGTGGGATGGGGGAAAGAATCAGAAGGGGTAAAAGTAGGAAAATGTATGGGTTGAGATAAGAACACCTTAATAATGCTAAACTGTAATGACAAGGGGAAAAAAAAAAGATAAATAAACCCCAAGAAGGACAATTGTATTTTATTTGCATGATTTGTTTACCACCAGCAGCTCCCCCAGTGAGCTTTCCCTCTAGTTGATATGTTGAGCACACTGCCATGTGGTCTGGAATATCCCTTGGGTCAGTTGGGGTCAACTGTCCTGCCTGTGTCCCTCCCAGCTTCTTGTGCCCCTCTGCCATCTGCTCCCTGACAGGGCAGCTTGGGGAGCTGAACATCAACTCACACACCAGTGTGTCATCAGCTCTGGTCACATGCCAGATCCAACACACAGCCCTCTACCAGCTACTGGGACGAAAATTAAATCTTTCCCAGCAGAAATCAGGACAAGGGTCGAGTTCTTTGCTTCAAACTCTTGGTGTGATGGAAGTACTGACTTCAAGATGCAATGAGTGTGTTACTCTTTTCAAGTAGCAAGTATACAGTATGTTTTGAATTTTTAAAATGACAGTAAATGCAAAGGAGAAACCACATATATGAAGAAATTATTTCTGTATGAGATCATTGAGATAGAAGAGGAAATACTTCACCTTTCCTGTCTCATGACACTGAAGCATACAAGTATAACCTATACCTAGTTTCTTGTTTCCATAGTGATGCAGAACTTATGTATGGGTTTTTATCACTAAGTATTGCCCAACAGTGATAAATAATGTACTGGCTTGGCAAAAAAAATTAAAAAAAAAAAAAAAAAAAAAAAAAAAAAATAAAAAACAAACACATTGAAAAAAATATGTCCTGTACTGAAATACAGCATGGGACATTTGATTTTCTTATTAAAGTCTTAATACTTGATCCCTTATTCATGTTTGGGCTTCAGGTTGTGTTTTCCTCTTCTTTTCCTTGGAAAATAGGCTAATTCATTTGCTTATTATATTCAAGTATTCTAAAATTTGCAATGAACTTGTGTTGTAACATCAGGAATGGTTCTGACATGGATTCCTTTCTTTGCAGAGAGCAGCTTTCATAAACTCAATCTATACTGGTTATCAAAGGGAAAGCAGAGATAATCAGCTCACATTCTACTAGTGCCTGGTGTCACAAGAATACATAGGTTGACAGCTTTTTAGTTTATCATGAAAGTATAATGGAGTCCAAAGTTTGGAACTAAAGCTTGTTAAATTCTTTATTTGCATATATGGGACTTCTTTGCTACTTCAGTCCCACAGACAGGAATACCATATTTAGCTGTTCATTTTATCTGAAAATCAGTGTGTCAGTGTTACAATTAAAGCTGAGTAGTAATAAAATTAACAAAATGTATTTCATTATTGTTTTGTTTGCTCTCTGGACATTTCAAAGTTGATTTTCCATCGCTATTCCAGCCATTAGTGAATATTTCTATAACTGTATTCAAAATGTTTGGCCTAAAAGTATACACAACATCATTTTAAAATTTGCAATAACCAATGGCAGCAAATTTTTTTAAATTACCATAACCTATTTAGCTTTTATAGCCATGTGAACTAAAGTATATGTAATCTACCAAATAATATAAGTCAAATTGAATTCCATAGTGTCATGAAGTAAAGACCATGTTTTTTTTTATTCTAGGTACATGCATTGTTTCACCTGGGCCATATGAGGCCTCAGATGATATTCCTCTAACCTGCCAGCTCAATTCTGATGTCCCACAAGTTACACAAGTGCTGGATCTAAATGAAATTCACAAGCCAAAAATAAAATGTAGGGAAAATGAGGTGCAAGAAACAGGTATTCTGTTGTATTAAAATACTGTGAATACAATCCCTAGAGTATGTGTAGAAAGAATTAATTGTTTTGTAAATGTCCATGTTAGGAGTTCCAATGTCTTAAAATGAAACATGACAACTCCTGCACGCTGTAGTGCCTCAGGCACATGGACACATGTCTGTTCTATAGTTTGAGATCTGTGTGGAGCCTGAACAGTTCTAATTCAAGCATAAGATTTATAACAATATTTGAGATGTCATATGAATGTTCATTGAAGCATTTTGCAGTGAAGTTGTTACACTTCTTTTTAAAGTATGTTCACATCAAAGAAACTTTGCTGGCAATATGAGCATGCAGGGTCCTCAGCTTATACTCTGAAAAGCGAAATCTTTTCTTATTGGTGTCTTGTCTTATTTGAATGTTTCTTTTAGCTACAGAATAACAAACCATATAATTTAGACTTTGGCAGCATTGCATTGATTTACTAAAGAAGCTGGGCAGTTGTGTGCTACAATACAAGCTATTGACGTGGATAAAAGCTAAGAGAAAACAAAGAAAAGATTAAATTTAAAATTATTGTTACAGCTGAAGGCTAACAGCAGGAGACCTAAAAGGTTTTTGTTCTAGTCTCTGTATTGTTTATCATAATTATTAATAATCTCAACAGAGAAGTGAATAACAGGGGAGCAAAATTTTGTTATGATACAGATACTGGTTTAATAAAGAGTGGGCTTCAGAAAGTTTTAAGCTTGTGAGATGGGCAATCCCATATTTACTTTTTCCTGAAAAACAAAGCAGGTAACGTGCAGGAAATATCACACTTTTCAAAACAAGGTTTTCAGTTTACTGGTTTTATGTCTTGTGGCCACTGTGTTGAAAAATTATGGTCTAGGGACCACTGTATGGGGTAAATGTGGAATATGATATCACATAAAATCTAGCTTTGCTAAATGCAGAGGATTCTACATTGGGGAGGAATGGTAACTACAGTTAAGCTTTAAAGGATCAAAATTAAATGACTCAAGGCAGGAAGGTTATCATCACCATAGATACAGCTCAGTAGAACTTTCAGATTTTAATACATTTTAAAAACTAAGTAGCAGGAAATTCAAATTCATAGGAAATGAAAAAGGTATCAAACCTTTAAATCATTTTTGCATTATTATCTGAAATACTTTATACATTATCAGCTAAACCATCTCAGAAAATATCTTACAGACCAAGAAGTGATTCAGGGAGAAGCAGCATGAATGATAATCTCTCACATAAGATATGCTGAAAACATTAAAAATTTACATAAGGGCATTTAAAAAGTAACCAGTGATACAAAGGATGTTCAATAAAAGCTGTTTTTCTTATCTTGTGGCACAAAAACAAGACATCATTTGATGTGATGATGCAGTTGAAAATTAAAAACTCATAAAAGAAAATGCCATGTTAACAGAGAATATCATTAAAAAAGAGGCTAAAAGAGGCTGGTAAAGAAACTGATATGATTCCAAAATTAGTTGCCAATTTATATAGGTAACAGTAATGTTGTATTTAGCAGCAATAAAAATGTGAAAATTCAATTTTGTACTTCCAAGTTTTTCCAACCTTACACTAAGAACTGTGTTGAAGGCAGATGATTTCAAAAATCCATACTGAATTATCTTGTGCTATTTCTGAAGTGTTGGGTTTGGCCTTTGGAACTGAATGTTAGAGAGATTATTGGCCTGTTCTAGAGCAGCCTTTCCTGTGTTTTTATGTTTAAGTTGGCATGTCTGCTTGAGTAAGATCTGTAAGCCAAGAATCAGTAGAAACTGAATTGTAGATACAAATGCCAAGATGTGAAATTGCATAAACAGACTTGGGTCAGACAATTGAGAGCTTTTTAGTAAAGCTGCTGTTTTGGTTTAAAACTCTGTATTGCATCCTAACTTCAATAAAGTCAACAGCAGAATTTCACCATGGCAAATATATTTAGAGTCCTTATTGTCTTGATTCAAAGTACTGATTATGTCTTTAAAACAATTTTGTAAAGAGATAGATCATCATTAAAAAACAGCAGTAGAGAGAAACATAGAGTATTTATGTTCATTATTGGAAATCTGGAATTGTAAAATTATTCATAAGCAGTCGTGGTCTTCAATCCCACCTAATAAACACAGCATGTGTCCTTCCAGACATGTTTTTTTAAATTTCAGAAGTTAGCCTGCTTGAAATTGGAAGCTTTGGTATATTTAGGTACTTTTTAATTGGAAAATCTTCTTTTAATCCACTAAACTTTTTGTTTATTTGATAATCAAAAGCCCAAATTATTTTTAGTATCATCCACTTTTAATTACACATATTATTTCATTATGTCATCAACACACTGTTATGTGTAGATGTAGGTAATTAATTGCAGTCAATTAATGTGGTCATTAAGAGAGATTTTAATGCAAATCAGCTTTTCTAATTGGAGCTAACAACATCCCAAGGTAGCCAGTAAAAAAGAAATTGATGTTAAACCAAGACAGGTCATCTGATCTTGTGAAATGGCAGCTGTTAACAGCAACCAAATGTCACATCAGGAAAAGAGTCAGGTAATGGCAGTAAGTAGCTTCTTCTGTGCTTATTAGTACAGTAAATGATGATATTGGTGGCTAATGTATGATCTGTTTTTCATTTCCTTGATGACACTGTAAATAAAGCTGATCTTGAAATAAGGTTATGAAAAATGCTCAAGGGAATCGGCAGAATATTTTGTTTCTACTTTATTGCTTTATGAAGGTGTCAAATCTCTGAAGTGAGACAGCAATTTAATACGAGTTGTAGCAAGAAAATATCTTTGGACATTGTAAATATTAAATATAAATTAATGTGAAGATACCATTTTTATCAACTTTGGAAAGGAGAATCCACTGACAATACTGGAGAATTATAAAAGGAAAATAGATACTGCATGCAGCTCAACAACCTCGATGGTAAAATTAATGTGCAACCATTTTACTGTCCTTCCTTTTTAAATTTTTTGGAGAACATTCACCTGAATTCCATATTTACTTTTTGTCTTGAAGACTGGTTGGCAATTTCCATGCTTTAAAAGACTTACAAAAATAAATCTACAGTTTAAACATAAAACAAAAAACAACAGTGAAAAGGGTAGAATATTTTAGCAGCAATAGAGTGCATTTGCAATATTAGGGCTCAGCCCAGGTAATACAGTAGATTCAGTAATTTCAAAAAGCAGAGTACATGTAAATAGTTCTCTGAGCTGCGACTGATACCTTGGCAGTCTTGCCTTCATTTTTTGTGTTATTATTTATTTATTCTGTTATTTATTAATTAGAGTTATTTTTTCTTCCTGTCAGAAGTTAGGTTTTCATTGAAGTTCTAAAGAAGTCCTGCAAACCTTTTTTTTGTTGTTGTTGTTTATAAATAACCCACTTTTAAATAAATCTTTAAAGCAAGAAGATTAGAATTATGTCTCTATAATAGACCAAAAGTTTCTTGCTGATATGTTGACACACTTTTATAAAATGTGCATTTGCTATTCCTATATTTCTAGGGAGTGCACCTTAAAGGAACATAACTCTAATATATGTTTAGTATTCATAATTATTTTCTTTTAATTTATTTTTAAAAAGCCCTACTTCTTACTGTTTGTAAGTACTGTAAATTTTTTAACTCCTAATTTTCTTAACTTAGGTATCTTGGGTAATAGAGGCCAAGGCAACATATGCAATGGCAAAACTCAGGATGTGTCACATATTGCATTTGGGTCAAAGATCCTTGGGCCACCTCCATCTTCAAACAGAAGAACCAATGCAAAGGTACCTGGAAAGGTAAGAAGGGCTACATTCCAACGACACCACTGGCCCTTTTGCAAAGGAAGATATTGATAAGAAGGGGAGATAACTACAGTTTATTTCAGAGGCTGCCTCCAGAGAACTGTCACAGGTCATGGACCTCCAGTGCCAGAGACGCTGTAACATCCAGGGGAGGGCAAGGAAAATGCATGGGTGGCTCCAGCTCAGAGCATGGGGTTATGAGCCCACAGGAGAGAAAGCTAGGGGGAAATCTAGTACCTATTTTCAATGAATGCAGGGCTGTAGAGAAGCCAGGTCTCTTCTGAAAGGCCAAGGGCAGTGGGCCCTAATTGCAGGGAGATTCTAAATACAACAAAGAAGTGATTCAGTACTGCAACTGAGTCACAAGAGAGTGGAGAATTTCAAAACTTCTGAAGATATCAAAACTTAAATGAAACAGGCTGATTCAGCAGCAGATATAAAGATGCCTCTTTCTACTGAAATTACTCTTATCATTCTTACTTTTCTGAATTTTTTTCCTAGATGCTGAAATTTCTGTGTGTGTGTGTGTAAATATTTTGCCTTATGATGAGAGCTATAATGCAGAGCAGAAATTACATTTCAGGATGCTCTGGTAGTCAGCCTTACAGTAGCTTATGTGATGCTGTCAATTACAATGCCAGGGAAAACACCTGATCCCAGTCTGCCAGCAACAAATATACAGGTTTTTGGAATCTGATCAGGACTTTAGTTTTCAGTTGAACACCGAGAATAAGGGATCCAGCCAACTCTTGTGTAGAAAGTCACTTGAAAGGCAGGATGTAAAATGATATTTTTTTCTTCAAAGAAGAAAATACTCTTGAGGTCTAGAATAACTACAAGTTTTAGTCTTTTTATTCTTATAGTGAATTCTAATTTTTTTCTCTTTTCTTTGCATTGTTCCATCCGCTAAGTGAAAAAAAAACCTCTGCTTGCTACTTGACTGTTAAGATTGAAGATACCACACTGAATAGAGCCTACCATAAGGTTTTGTGAAAAGATAGTGTTTCAAAAAAAGATCTGGAAATATACGTTTTTTTAAACAAGTGTCATTCATAATCTGTGTTTTACCTTTGAGTATTTTGAAAGCTGTTATATTTTTGTCTTTCATCAAGAAATAATGTCTTTCAAGGTAAAAAAGACCTTGGGTAGCAAAACATCATGCCAACTTCAAAATTCAGGAATGCCAACTGAAACCATACCAGAAAATGAGAGATTGGAGCTACCACTCTGGCCATGCAATGATACTTTAGATCAAGGAGGCAAAAGAAGTAGTCTCCAAACAACTGCAAATGAATATCAAAATGGTAAGAGCATAAAGCAATGAATATGTAGACTTTTCAAAGTGCCAAATTTTTGCATGATTGTGCCTTTGAATTTAGGACTTAATTCTTTGTTTTTCTAATCCTTTATCTACTTAATTAATTACTGAAGACATATTCATTAAATCATGATTTATTCTCCTGTATGAGGGTGAATAAATGCTCATTCTCTCTGCAGCTATTTGTATCGTGAGTGATTGAGCCAGGGATCATCACCTGCTGGCAGTACCCACAATTTATACACATGCTCCTCTTTCCTCATGCTGTGAAAATAACTGAGCTGCTGCAGTGCTTCTTGATTGTTTTGCAACTTTTGCAAGCCTGTTTTTTATAATTACTACGGTTTGCCCTTTTCCATACCTAGTGTTAAATTTTTCCTTCCTTGTGGCTGCCCTGTTCTGCTGCCCTGAAAGATTCCCATGCTGTTTAGATGACCCATATATACACTGTATGAGTCTTCACAGGCATTTCATTTCTGCATTGCATTTCAGACCCTGAAATTGAGACTCAGAAAACATCTGTAAGTGGAGAAGCAGATTTTCAGCTCACCTCACCACAAGTACCATCACCAGACAAGGACAGTCATATAAGATTATCTCTAAAAAATGCAGCCAAACCCACATGGGAGATAACCAGTGGTATGGTACTCATTTTCTGTTATTTTACATTTCAGTTCTATGTGGTCTGAAGGACTGTTGTAAATTTCAAAGGACCCAAAAGCAGTTCATATAAAAAATAAACATCTGTGTTGTGGGGGATTATGGAAATCAAGCACCCTGCAACAGAATTGCTTTTGAGCATTGATAAAGATTTGCAGGATTAAGCAGAGTACCAGAGCAGTGAATGAATATCAAAAGAAAAATTCTATACTCTCATGATTAAAGGAAAAGAACTAAAAATAATTTATTCTTTAAATCCCTAATAAATTTAACACTGAAGACTCCAAATATTAAATGTACAAGAAATTGTATGTGTCCTAGATAAGAATTTAGAATATTAACTACAGTACCTATGTAATATTGGGAGGGGAAGGGGGGGAAAGAGGGGGAAAGGGTTGTTTTTCTTATAGAGTTCAGTGGTGATTTATTTCTTTTGTTATTCACAGCAAGATACCTCAGCTTATGTTTTGAGTTTTTTCCCTTTCTCACCTCTCTGCCAAAAAATGTGGATTTTTTTTTGTCATACATTGTCAATCAACTTCCTTTGCATGAGTCTGGGAATTGCATTATGGGGAAAAAGTATCCCTTGTCTCTATGAAAAACTAGTGTTACTTTTTAATAGAAGTCATAGCTACCAATTTGAAAAGTGGTGGGACTACTCAAAAGTTCTCAAAATTGACCAATGAGATTTTCCTTCATATTGTGAGTGATTTCCTTTGTGTTTATTCTTTGGGGATATTTAGAAGTAATTATATACTCTGGCAGTTCCAGTAATTCATAATTGCTGTTATGGGTCCCATAATTTGACTGAAAGAGATCCAAGATGTTCAAGCAAATAGAGAATTCTTCTGGAGAATTTTTTAATTCCTTCCTATTTATCTGAATTTTGAGAACTCTGAGGCAGGAACCACTGCCTTAACTTGTTTTTCATCTAGAACATCAAAACCTCTATCTAGTGCCAGAAATAAAAAGAAAAAAAAATTAATCCACACTTGTTATTTTATGAAAATATAGATGATATGAAAAGACAGCTTTAGAGCAGTAGGCTGGCCTGTCTAAATGCCCTCTCATAAATTCAGAGGCAGAGAACTGAGGAAGAAGGATATGTGTAAACTCTGTTCTTTTGTTGTTAGAATTTCAATGAATAAAAACTGTTTCTTTATAATCTTAGTTGTGTGACCAGGCAGATGAATGCATTATGTGAGTTCATAAGGTACAGTTCTACAAATTTTTTCCCTGTATTTTCATTGCTTGTCACTGTTGTCACTCTCAGCCTGCAGATTTCTGTTTCTTTTCTCATTTTATGTAGATGACTTAATGATTTCTTTATCCGTTAGTACTGGATTTATTTTTTCTGAATAACTTCCTATAAGCCACTTCTCCATCAGCAAAGTGCCCTTCTAGGCTTTGTTCTGGACCTCTTCCAAAGTGGGATCAACTTGACCTGAGAGAAGAAATGAAATGAGTGAACACTGTTTATGCCAATCTTATTTACTCAATGCTGAAGCCTTCATTATAATGTTAGGCTGTGATTAGAAGCTTTAGCATAAGTCTGACTGTGTAGAAGAGCTAATTAGATGTTAAGGTGATCATTCTTGCATTTATGTTGTTTGCTGCAATGTTGTGATTACGTAGTAGTTTGCATATTTTACTCAGAATGTACTCCAAATTATTCATTACAATTGACATGGAAATTATGAGTTAAAAAGAAATTCTAGTTTTTGTTAGAGAGGTAATGGGATTTTGTTTAGTCCAAAACTTACTGTATCTTTCACTTGTGGACTGTTGAAAGACTGCTACACTGACTACAGGTTACAGAAGTTGCTGAACTCTGTAACCAGCATAAAATGTCATCTTCAAATCATACAGACCTTTTTGTCTGCCCCCTGGATATTTCATTAGGAATAAGGACTGTGCTATGCGAATGAATGTTTGGGTTTGACTTATTCCTAACTCAAGTGTATTTCTTCAACAACTCTGGAAATTAGTGTAGTTCTTTACAGTATGGCTTAGACTAAAAAGACAGAATATCCAGGTTAATATTATATAGATAGTAATAATTTTAAAGTAGTTCTTTGTATTTCTGAACTCCTTTTGGTCTGGGCAAGACATTATAATGGTGTAAGAAATTTTTGGATATCTGAGGCAGAGCCAGGATTAGAAATCAGGAGTTTAAGGCTCTAATTGCCTCAAGTTTTCAAAAACCTTGAAAAAACTGTTGCTCTAGGATTTCTTTTCCGTGTTTTGATACTTCATTCAAAATTGACTTAAAATCATAAAAAGCAAGTGATTCATCACATTGTTTCCTTCAGAATTCATTACACAGTTTTATCCGTCCTCTACAAATTAAACAGCAACAACTGCACTGGAAGTTATTCTAGAATGAGAATAGAACAATTTTATCTGTCCTCTACAAATTAAACAACTACACTGGAAGTTATTCTAGAATGAGAATAGAACAGATGAGATTGAATTGTGGGAAGTGGGTTGTTGCAAGTCAGTAGACAAAAAAAATAAGCTACTCCTCTCTACTCTTTCCCAGTTCTGTGTGCATAAGAATTAGTGAATTCTCCTGAAGTGGGTTGTACACTAAGTGTATAACCATACCCTAGAGGGCTCTTCACAGTGGTCTGAGCTATTAGTGCATATTTGTAAACCACAAAGGCAGAATGAGACATGTCAAATCTAATTTTATCATGGAGAAAAGACCTCCTGAATACTGAAGGAGTGTATGTTATGTATTTTGGTGTTAGTCTTGATACTGACAGGGAAACCTAATAAAATGTGTCTACACTAAACTGGAAGGGTGGGTGCCAGACTGGAAAGAAGACTTCAAAGTGCTGAGATAATTAAAAATACAAAAAGTTTCTTAGCTAGGTAAATTTTGAATATTTTTGTTTGTTTTGAAAAATGCAGCAAGTAAAAATGTTAATATTTTTGCCTTAGGAAAAAGGGTAAGCATAATTTTAGATTTAGCAACCAAAATAGCTGGGAAAAAGATTCTTCACATCCTGAAGAATTGTGTAGTTGAAGTTTGGGGATAAGTAACATTTTTGTGTCATTTCTGTATAGCACTTTCTGGAGTTGTGAACTAGGCATCTCCAGGTTCTAAGACTTTCAAAGCAATCTCAGTCTTGATGGGCCAGATTCCTGCAGGATAAATAATTGAATAATTGAAAATACTGTTTTAGTGTGACAGAGTTTTCCAATCATGTTAGGTCATAGAATCAGTTTGGGGAAAAAACAGTTCCTGAGTATTTGTCCTTGAACATCCAAATACTGTGTTCAGCCTCACTTGAAAAGCTCATGAAAATATCCCTCTTCTCATTTCATTTTTATAGGGGAAATGGTAGCTTAATAAAGGTAACTTATACAGATATAAAGTATACCAAAAGCATAAAATCTGTGAAATGTTCATGACTGTGTTTTCTCTTATGCTTTCAGTTGTTTTATTTGTGTATCACCCTTCACATGTAATTCCAATTGCCTTTGAAAAATACGTTATCAGAGGAATGTGACACAATCTTGAATGATAGTAGACTGGAGAATTCTGCCCCAATACCCTTCTTTGAAGAACCTGTAGTTATGGATACAGAACTAAAAGTCATTTGGTTTACTCATTGAAGGGTGTTTCCTGAAAGTTTTGAGTAGTCTCACTCACTTCTTGATGCTCTTGGAAGAGCTAGTCCAAAATATTTATAAAATAAATTAAATCACTTGCACGTTCAGCTTTCGAGGCTTATAATAATTAAAAGCAGAATCTACTACATTGTTTTAAACCAGAACGATTTTCTAATAGAGTAAGAGTTTACTTGAAAAGCCTTGGGTGTTCTTACTAAAGATGGTCTTCATGAAGAGATTGAAAAATGGCCTTTTCTGGAACAAGAAGATGCAAGCCATGGTCATACAAGATACATCAAGTCCCAACTTTCCACTGGTTCCTGGATATTAACTGGGGTTTGGTAGCCTTACTGTCTGTCTTCAGTAAACTGGAAAAATCACAGCAACCAGTGAGAAGTAAGAAGACAGCTGTTTCTGCTGGCATCTCATTCTTCTTTCTTTTGCCTTCATTTGTGGTGATTCAGAGTTCCTCCCACCCTCTCAGTCCTCCCAAGCTGCTGAATGTGCCTGAAGTGGTAATTCTAACAAAACTAAAAGTAAAATATCACAGTAAAGCACAAAACACCCCACTAAACTTATTGTCTTCTGTGGTGGCAAGCATTTTATTATTGCAATGCTACTTTATTATTACATTTTTAGTATTCTGTCATTGGGTTTTTTAATATGGTTGATGGTAACTTTGTTTTATGGAGCTGGAAAGTTTCAATATCTAGTGAATAATCCACACCACACTACCTTTAATGAAGATAAGGGAGTATTGCATACTTGAGCAATTCTCCTTTTCTTAGATGCTATTCAAGATTGGTTGTAATCAATCAAATTGACATTTTTTTCTATACCATCATTCCAAACAGTAAAATATAAGTTAACAATAAGAACATAAAAATGGTCTTTTCATGTGTATCTGGTGCACTCAATCTTTAAATCCATTTCTGTAGTTTATTGTTTGTTTTAAAATTGTCAGATTAGTTGTCCTATATTCAGGGAAACCTAGTGAAACAGATATCTTTATACATTTTTCATGTCACACTTTTTTATCAGAACACAAGTTTGAAATTGAGATTTAAGCCATAAGTTCTGAATGTAAAAGTGTGGACTTTCAGTAGTAAAGAAGGAACAGATTGTAATACTATGAACTTTCCACCAATGTCTGATTATTTTTTAAATGTCAGATGCCAAAAATACCTATAGAAAAAGATAAATGGCCATAATAAATAAAATCATGCTTTCCTAAAATAAAATTCAGTTGTGGGTTTCAAATCTTGATGGCTAAACAGTTTCAGGTTTGAAAATGGCAGGTTTGCATGTCCTGTACCAGAGCTCTGTTTAGAAATATTTTATTACCTTGCTGCACTTTGAAAGCAACCTGATCTTTTTCATTGCATCCTCATCACTCTTATTCTTTGATAGGCAAAATGTTTCTGTACTAGAAAAACTTACTTTGCTATCCAATTTTCAGAGAAAATGAGAATGATCAGAGTAGCTCACAATTTATATATTTGGCATTGGAATTGTGTGTTTCAGATGAATGGGTGTTTCCAGAGAGGTTCAGTGAGAATAATCAGTTGGATAGGAAGGAGCACTTTGAATCTGCTGGAAGTTCAGCCTGCTCTAATTTACCCTCAGCCCAGAATGCCTCTGTTGAACATCCCAACAGGGAAACAGCTGATAATCAAAGGAGTAAGAAAGAGGTTTTCACATTTTCATCAAAACCTCGGTCAGCTCCTTATGGAAAGTCTCCCAATATATCACCAAAAAGTTACATTTTCCCATTGGAACTGGAGCTACACAGTAAGGGAGAACACGAACAAACCACAACTGAAGATAGCTTTGAAGGAACTGACAGCAGTGAGGAGGTAGGCCACTTTGTGCATGTAACTCTTGATAAAGCAGTCCTCATTCTCAAACTCCTAGGATGAGATTCTGTCTTCAAGCCAGACAGAGAGGATAAATCATCTTTTCCCCATATACCAACAGGTAGATTTGTCTCTGTCAGGTTGCTGTATCTAACCAGATACAGGACTCAGTGCAGGTGTACCCTGTGTAACAAGCTGACAAAAGAAAGCTAACTCTGTCAGCTCCTGTGCTAACAGAGAGATGCCAGAACTGTGCATCATTACTCCAAAAACAAACAAAAAAAAAAGGATGAGTGAGATCCAAGTCCTCTATGGTTGCTCAAGACTTCAGTAAATAAGACTTCATTGTGTCTTTTAAAACTGCAAATGGAGATTGGTTTTGCTCATTGACATTGTTGAAAGTGAATTACAAAATTCCAGCTTTTGAATGTTACTTGATTATTGGTATTTCTGCTGCATGTTCTGTCTGAGCATCACCAACTTTAATTCTTTTGCAATGTGGAAATCTTTCAGCAATTAAATTAATGAAAGAAAACAAACAATTTTTTAGTATATCTGTCTAGTATCATTTGATACTGTACAGAAATTTGCTGAATTGTCAATATGTGGAATAATTTCATTATGTCATGAATGACATGACTGCTAAAGTTCCTAATTTTATGAACATTCTAGTGTATTTCACTTCTAACTGTTTCTTAGCATTCTTAGCACTTCTGTTTCTTAGATTTTAAAGTCTGTTTCTTAGCATTTGAATCTGTAGCTCACGGCAGAGAAATAAAATGTAACTGAGTTGCATAATAGCAAGATGGACTGAATTTAACTGTTTTACAAAATAACTGAGGGAATCAAACTATAAATTTCCAAAATGTGTACCATTAATAAAACGGAGGGATTATCTTCTTGAACGTACATTTCATGCTGTGTAATCCTGAACTCACTGAAGTCAGTAACAATCTTGGATCACTTTCATGTGCAGCAGGATTGCACCTCAGCTGTGAGAGGCACTGCAGGTGATCCTGCCTGACATCCTCTGTGGGACCATATGGCAGAGGAGCAGCATCACGAGATGAGGATGAGGCTGCTCTCATCCTTTCTTTCTTGGGAATAAGAACACTGAGGCAAACACTAGATGCACTCCTGCAATATTTCTCTTTCCCTTCTTTTCAGTCCTGCTGATTGCTGTGGAGATGGGGTATGACTGAACATCATACACTTGATTCATGGGATATTTTGCAGGGACTTTGTTAGAAGCATGGATATAAGGTTAATAAACTAACCTCTAAAATTCTTTAAATTGTACTCAAATGGTAATGAATATGATATCCAGTACCATATGATTAGCAGAGCAGAGCAAAGTGATCTCAGCAGGAGTTACTGCTTCTACATTTAAGTTGAAGATGCAATGTGAAAATATGGAATATTAATAATTCAATGGAAAGACACCATCATGGACACATTGCTTAGTTTTGGTTTACAGCTGTAATAAATTCTATTGAAATTATGAATGTCAGGTAAGACACAGGTCTTGGACATTATACCAGCATTCAAAATCTGACCTGACATTTTGAAAAGTGTAATCAGCTTCAGATGTAAGAATATGTTTATGGTACAATCAGTGTATTTGCCAGGAAAAGCAGCTGTTTTTCAGAATCCTTGTAAATTTAGAAACAGGAGGCAGAGATTAAAGAGAGATTTTGAAGTAAGGTTATGTAAAACTGAACTGTGTAATGATGAGAGGGAGCCAACCACTCTTGCTCTTTTCCTAAATTTAGGATGACAACAGTGAACTCATCCAGAGTGCTGAGAACATTGAGAACAGCCACAGTAGACAAGGAACATCTGATTCAGCAGTTTTTAAAGAGATCCCATTAAATAAGATGTCACAGGGAAATGAGTACTGGAAGAATAAGGAACACAGCAAATACAACTTCGAAGAGGTCGTCTTATCAAAACCACAGAGTTCCACCACGAGAAAAACAGAATCTATTAGCTTTCAAAGAAGTTTAAAGCCTATCCTTTCTCTTTCTCCAATTCAAAGTAAATCCAAATCCTTTAGAGTAATTAGAAATGTATCTGAAGAAACTGAAAGATATGAAGGAGTTTTAGATCAATTCGAAAGATCTGTCAGTAAAACATCTCTCAAGAAAGTTTCAAATGGAAATTCATGTCTGACAGCACAGACTTGTGTAAGTGATTTTTACTTTGAAATTGAATTACTAGATTGTATAGAGAAGCTATATTAGATATTCCCATTTGCATGAAGTGATTAATAGTATATCATTCATTCTGATATATTCTGGCTTCATCATAACTGCATTTACTGTGCTCAGTCTGTTGAAAGTTGATTTTGTAGGGGTTTGTGGAACACAAAATCATACTCCAAATATAACAGAAATGACAAAGGTTTGTAGATAAAAAGATGTGTCATTGAGCAACTCACATTTTGGAAATAAATTAGTTAGAAAATAGTTTGGGGCTGAAAGGTTACAGAAGAAAATTGTGAGATTTTAAATTGCTGTGTTAACGAATGACCACAGAAGGAGTGTTAATTTGGGCACTTCATGGTCTCTCTGCTCAGCCCTGATTAAGGGTAAATTATGTGACTGAGAGCCAGCAGCAAGGCAGCTTCTGTCCAGCAGTCAGCCCTAGATGTCTGGAGAGAATAACAGGGCAAGGACAGGGAAAGCACCCAGGGGGACCTCAGCAGCAGGGCCCTGAAGGCTTCCTTCCAGCAGTCCTTAGCTTAGCCATTTCTTCAGGAAAGGTGGTGTCTGTGGTGAGAAACTGGTGGTAGAGTTTTTTTTCCCCAGAGATTTGTGTGTTTGCTTTCTGCATCTATATGGCCTTTGCCTTGTGACAGTGAATTTCAAACTTTAACTGCTATTTGTGGGAAAAAAACATATATCTTCATTTTTTTAATGCGTTTTCTCATTCCTGATGCTTTCTTATTCTTCTATTTGTTACAAAAAAGCAATTTTTTTTAACTAATATTCTTACCTGTGCCACTTCCTACTTCATTGCTGCGTATCATATTCCCCTGCAGGTGTCTCTTTTACAGGTCTAGGAGTTTTATGGTACTTAGTCCCATGATTGCTGTTTTGTGAATTTTTGTGGATAATTTTACCCAGGGATGTTGAATTGAATTACTGCATGATTGTTATTGTAAGCGTGGGGTTTGTTTTCTACTATCTTGGATATATCTTGAATTTCTTATAATACCTTTGGTCCCTACGTATTGCATACCTCTGGGGACCAAAGGAATAGACTCTTCTCTTTTGGGGGGCTCTATGAAGTAGTTATGCATTGTTTGAAAAAATGTTTCTACTTTCATGTCTTAGAATATGACCTGTACCTCATTTACATGAAGGAAATGGACATCTATAATTTTTGTGTCCTTGTGGTTTGTCTCATCTGCTGCAGGAAAGGGAGTGTGCTGTGATTCTGCTGGGGGAGTGTTGGTCTGTAGCACTTCTGTGACCGGTTGATAGAGCAATTTTAGTTAGCTGATTTGACAGCCTGTGTGAAGAGGGAAGCAGCAGCGATGACTTCCATGGGACAGGGCTGCTGCTGCTGCTGGGGATGGACAGCCCTGCAGGGAGCTGTGGGTATGGAAGTCCAGGCTGGGAGGAGCAATCTGAATTGGGCACCACATTAAACAGTAGTGTCTAGGAAAACATGTTCAGCTTTTCTGTGTGCCCTTGATGGGGAAATGCTAATCCTGCCCTGCCACAGAGGCATTTTTGTGGAATGAGTTTCTTTCAGTACTGGTGAAGGGCTAGGGCTTATGTGTCTCTCAGTGCTGTGAGGTTGTCTCTCAGACTGGGGATTCTGGAAAGCTCTTCTTGTATCCTGCAAGTAGTTTATTGGATTGGTGAAGACCCTGTACTTTTCCTGATAAAAACAGAACATCCTTTTCCATGAAGGTTGTGGAGACTGGTTTCCTTTGGGAAAGAAGTAAATTAGGGGGAAGCAAGGGGAATGAAACACAGCAGTGCAAGTGAAAATCAGAAACAGTGCTGAGACTTTATTATCATGAGAAGTATCAGTGGCTGGTGACTTTAAAGACTATGAAAAGCAAAAGAATTAAAAGAATTAAAAAGCAAAGAAAATCCTTTCAATAGCAGCATATGTTCTGTGTATTTATGATCTGGAAAAGCCATTAGAATTGCCACTAGTGATGTAGAAAATGTGGAAGAAAGCAATGCATGGGTTCATTTCTATTTGGAAAGAAGATCATGTTTCTATAATTTTCAGTGATAGGAAAAGCCCCAGCTGATACCAGTAATCTCATTCTCTTTTTCTTTGAGACGGTAATATGCAGTCAATATGTATGGTAAAATTTGTTTATATTTTTCATTGCCTTACCCTCCTATTATAGTTTATAGCAATTTAATCCTTCTTTTTTCCAGTAGCTACTTACATCTTTGCAATTAAATATATTCCTTGTTTCCTCATACTTTCAAGTTTTAGAAAATTGTTCCAATTACAGTCCAATTATGTTTAATGCTTATCATAACTGTAGCCTATTTGTCCATAATAAATGAAATTATACATGTATTACTTTTCCAACAGATATTATCTGTGTTTAATGCAGTCATCAACTTTGTCCTGTAGAACTCAGCTAAATGTAGACTCTCTGGGTGGATTGCAATAGTTGATTACTAATTGAGACAATAAGGTTATTACCATACTGCAGTTGTAGTTGTAAATGTATTGCACATGTGATTTGTTGCTTGTAAGTATTTTTTTTAAGAACAAATCCTATTATTAATGTATAGAAACTCATTAGCTACAGATTTTGTTTTATTGCTACAAAACATAAGATTAAAGTATCTGGCAGATCTAGGTCTTAACACTTGATCAAGTCTTAAAATTTTATAGAAGCCCTTCCTTGGAATTCTTTGACATTTCTTTTTGTGCTCATACAAGGGACTAGTCAAGGAAAAAAAGTGCTTAACCAAGTCTTCTGCAATTGATTTGCCTGCTGCTTAATATGCTTTAAGGACCTGGTTTCTTGCAATGTTTTATTCATGTTTTAATAGAGTTCTCTATTATTAAGTTCAAATATTTTTAATTAAGAAAGAAGTATAGCCCTCTGGGAAATATTTCAAGCATGTAGATAGCTGGTAATTAAAGTTTTCCACACGTACAACTACATTCAAACAATTCTGAATAAATCATTTGAACCTAGAAGAATGCAAATGTCATTATGTATGAAAAAAAATCCTTTAAACAACAGGTTTTATCAATCTAGCAAAAGTTTTAAGTGCTTAATAAAAATATTTTATTGTAAGGGAAGAATATTCAAATAGACAAGATAAGCTTTTAATTACTAAATGAAATATTAATTTTAGACAAATTTACGAGTATTGCAAAATTACTTCTTACATCAAAAGATTCTCCTAAATTACAAAGTTAACTTAATTTCAAATTCAGTTTTCAAATTCTCTCTTTGAAAGCCAACAAAGACAATATAAAATTTTTGAAGAGGCTTTTGGTGGTAGTCATCGGAACTTGAAGAATAAATATTCCAAACTATTTCTCCTTCATTAGTTTATTTAAGGGATGTTTACCACAGAAAATGGTCGTAGCATCTCTTCTCCTTCCTGAGTGTGGTATTTTCAGAGTGAGACCATTAGAGGAAAAGAAAACAGAATGACAATTTGAAATAAACTGGGAAGGGGAACGGCAGATGTTTAGAATTATGCTGTAATAATTCCACAAATCTATGCATCTTTCTTTATAGATGTAAAGGAAAAGACAAGCAAGTTTAGGCGCTTTTTTTGTGCTTTTATTAAAAAGAGAATGAGAAAAAAGTTCTTTCAATAGTTAAAGCTTTTATTCTGCAGAGCACCAGTTCATTCTGTCAGTTTAATGACTGCATACCAATTATATGAAGGAAGAAAGATAAGCCAAAGCTTCTCTTATAATAATCAAATAACTGCAGAAGGTTTATATATAGGAAATTTAACAGGAAATCCGCATGTTCAATAAGATCAATAAAAGTTACAGCAGCTGCAGATCTGGTAGAATATTGATACATTAGAGCAAAGCAGGCTCCCCAGGCACAACAAAGCTTTGGGTGAGGTGAACAAATGACTAATAGTCACTGAGCTAGTAACAGGCATTCAGGAAAGGTCTAGAGAAAACATCTCAGATAATTTTAGGATTAAAAATGGTAGTAGTCATCACAATATTCAGGAGTTAAGCTTGGACCTCATTAGCGAGGATTGTAAAAATGGAATGGTAACTGTGCAAACCGCTTCTGTCATCTTATGCTTTGTGTATTCTGTCATCTTCTTGTACTTTGTATTTTACATACATAGGAAGAAAGCAAAGGAGTTAAAATTTCACTATGAATTCTGGTGTAGGGTGACTTCTGTACCCCTTGAAGATACACTAAAACATTACACACCACATTTCATAGCAAGAAAAGTTGTCAATGTTCATATCCCTTGTACTGCTGACTTGTATGTATTCTTGAGGTCTTCAGTTACCCAGTGCCTTCTCACAGCAAAAGAGACAGAGATCCTCCCTTCTGCCATGAATATGATTCATTCCTGGTCTAAAAGCTCCATTCTCTTCACTAGAATCAATGCTCTGTCCCTCTTTGGGATATTGTTATATAGTGTCTCACAGCCCACTGGCCAATACTCCAGGCATCTAAATCCATTCAAGTCCTGGTCACTGCCTGGATTCACTTTTCCAGCAGAAATGCTTTGTACTTACATTTAGAACCAAAACTAAATGTCTCAAGTACTAGACTTGTTCCTTTGTGAAAGAGCAATCCATGTGGACCCTTTAAAAAGGTGAAAGCTTTTCTTAAAGCAGGTGTTCTTTAAACAAAGATAGTGCCAACAGCAGGTGTGGTGACTTTAAACTATCTCATCTTAAGGTTTTGAGCGAGGCTTAAGTATCAACTGCAAAATGGTTAGTATGTGTCTGTAGCTTTTGGCCTGTGGATCAAGTTAGGTATAACAGTTAGGATTATATTAACAATTCCACCAGTGGATGTGAAGAAAAGTGAAAAGACATTGAAGTTCACTTGAAAATTCATACACTAGCAAACTGCCAGAATAACCTTTGAAATTTAGTGTTGACATGGCTTTACAGAGAAATGTTATGCTGTGCTTGACCAGTAGCTAAATGTTACATTGATGGTGTTGATGATACTGTGATAACTGTGAGATTGGCTTTAATTCAAGATTTGCATTTAAAAGCTGATGGATTTTTGAACTTCTTAAGGCCTGTTTTTATCTTCCATTTTTAATTGCAGTGGAACAGCAACTTCACCAAACACCCTGGATCAAAACTGCAGTTCATTACAGTGCTTATGGTGTTCTTCCTGCCTGTAATTGTTTATAAATATGCTTGATCTTCACAGATGAACAGAAATCTGTTAACTGATTTTTTTCTAGTAAACATTTCGTTTCTCTTTCAGTATTGAAGCTTTTTGAAGATTCTCTGAGAGATTCTCCAAGGTCTCTCTGGGTTTCATTCATCTATTCTGTTCGGTGATCCTGTCTATATTGTTGACTTTTCCATTTTATTTCACAGGAGTATGACAGGAAAAAGTTCCAGTCAAATAGACTGAGTTCATCTGAACTACAGATGCTGGCCAGCATGAAGAGACAACAAAATGAAGAATTATGGGATGCTGGGATCTCCCATGGGCTGAGCGCCACACAGATCGATTGCTGCAATGTCAACCTAAGTATAAGCAGTGATGATGATACAGCAACCTGGAACTCTTGTTTTCCCCCAGTAAGTCAAAACCCACAGTATTTTCTCAGGGGTCTTGAACACTAGATTTTCTTTGAGTAGAGTTGAAATTTAAGGTATCATTACCAAAGGCTCTTAAGAACTTATCAAGGAAAACATTTAACCAAGACACACGCACTTCCAGCATGTTCTCTAGTACCACCATGGATAAAGAGCAAATCTATTATATATACTCCTTCCTAGAATCCTGAATAATCATGTAGGCTGTACAGTTCATCACAATAGTGGCTGACAACCTGCAGGTGTGTGATATAGTACTTAAAAATAGTTCCAAAATGAATGAAACCTAGATATACCAGTCAGCAGCTGCATTACAGTGTGAGTAATGGAAAATAATTGCTTCTTACAACGATAAAGTCTCATTACTGAAAAGCTAAATGTTTAAAGAACTGAAGCAGGAGAAAGCAGCAAAAAGCTACAGTAGTTCTGAGCACTTAGTATGTGATCATTATGTGTTTTGCACCTTGGATCATTATTTGTCCTGGTACAAAGTGGTACAGAATCACACACAGCTGCACTATGTGGCAGTACTGCTGTAAGAAGCAGAGTATTTGTTGCATTCCACCAAAAAGTATTGAATGCATGAAAGCACAGAATAGCATTTCAGGAGCTATATAAAGGTACTAGCAGGAGCTGCTGTAAAACTAGATAACCTCATACTCCATATATATATCAGCAATATAGCTGTTATTTTATTACATTCGAGGCAATAATAAACAATGAATGTGGCTTAAGTAAAGCACACAGCACAGCTCTGAGGCAAATCCAATGTTTGAGAACTAAACACAGCTGTGTTGCCCCAATATAAACTATTGCAGAGTAAATGCTCTAAAATGTTAGGTGCAAATTACCTTCAAGGTTCTACAGGGTCCAAATAGAGGCCTGTAGCAGCAACTTCCCACAATGAATGATCAATACAGTGCTGGAACTTTGGAGTACCCTGTTAAATGAAGGTTTCAAATGAGAAGAAATGTGTTAATAAGTGGGTAATTGTACAAATAAGAACTTGATTTATAGAGGAATATTTTGCAGGACATCAGAGAAACATTAGTTGGTATTAACTATTTGATATACATCTCCATTACACATTTTGTTAATTTCATATTTCCAATGTGTTTTGTCCGTACTCATTAAACAGGCTCAAACATGGTACAAATCTGCAAGACCAGACAAATGGAACTCAATTAAATATACAGAATAGCAGTCTCATTATTTTTTTAGTAGTTTAATTATAAGGAAATTGATCAGAATATTTAGACACATCAGGTTTGGTTAATACAAATTACATGACTAAAACAAAACGAACTTTTAAAGTAAGATGTACTGCAGCAGCATTCAGTGAAGCACAATGTAATTGCAAAGACTATTCTTTGATCTTACTTCCTTGATCAACTTCTATAGCTTCAATCTAAAAGAGTGTTTAGATATAATAGGTTAGTAATATAAAATTGATATAGTTGTAATTTTTCATAACAGCCCTTTATGGCCATCTTTGTCTACATAATTCAAGCATAAAAAACAAAATTTTGTCTTTGAGAGAGTTCATCACATTTCACTCAGCTGACTGAAGTTTGGTGTGCCTTACACATTCAGCCTTGTCAGGTTTCTCCTCTGCATTTTGCAAGGTGGACATTGAGGGTTTAAGATTAAATGGCAAGAACCTCATTTCCAAGGAGGAATAACTTAGGAAAGAAATTGAATATTTCTCAGGTAAAGACTACCACTTAGTCCCTCACAAAAACAAAGAAATTCAGCTTTCAAGGTCTTCTGTACCCGCTTACCTCAGCCTTTATGGAGAGCAGCACTGTGCCAGTACAATGTCAGTCAGCCCCCAGAATCTCCTGTTTCACTTCATATTTTCCTTGCTGAGATACCAGCCAGAGCACCAGCTATTCATGGATATGATGGAAGTTTTTTGAGCATGGACTTGTGTGTTTAACACTACTCAATGTAATTCTGTTCCAACATTTGGAAAAATGCAGAGTATCTATGTGAGGGTGATAATTCACTTTGTAGACCTTTGGTATCTAAGAAGGCTTTAACAATATTTGTTAATGGAGGTGATTATTTAATCACCCACATTCTTTTAACACAGAAGCTTTTAAAAGAGTACTTGGGGAAATTGTTGGTATGCTGGTGTTAAATGTCAGTATATTTTGATATGCTTACAACATTTCAGAAGACTTGGGAGTAGCAATGCTGTGCCAGTACTCAAATGGTTAGCTGAAATTAATGCCTTCAGTCATGCATTCTCTTTCTGTAAGACCTAAAATAAGGAAATTATAGAATACTTTCATTTGGAAGGGACCTTTAAAGGTCATCTAGTCCATCCTCCTACCACTGGGCAAGAACACCCTCCACTAAAGCCAGTTGCTCAGGTCCCCATCCAGCCAGGCCTTGAACATTTGTAGGGATGGGCAGTCACAGCTGCTCTGGGCAATCTGTTCCAATGCCTCACCACCTGCATTGTAAAAAACTTTTTCCTAACACCTAAATCTACACTCTTTTAGTTTAAAACTGTTGTCCTTTGTCCTATCACAACAGGCCCTACTACAAACTCTGTCCCTATATTTCTTGTAAAGCCTTCTTTAGGCTCTGAATGGCTGCAGGAAGACCTTCCCAAAGCCTCCTTTTCTCCATGTTGAAACCCCAGCTCTCTCAGACTCTCTCCATAGGAGACATCTTCCAGTCCTCTGATAATTTGTGCAGCCCTGCTCTGGACTCACTCCAGCAGGTCCATGTCTTTCCTGTGCTGAGGACCCCAGAGCTGGCACAATGCCCCAGGTGGGGTCTCACAGGGGCAGAGCAGAGGGGCAGAATTCCCCCCCTGAACCTGCTGCCAATGCTTCCTTTGGATGCAGCGCGGGATACAATTGGCATTCTGGTCTGACAGGTCATGTCTAGCTGTTCATCCCCCAATACTCCCAAATCCTTCTCCACAGAGCTGCTCTCAATCCCTTCATCCCCCAGTACTAGTAAACTCATCATTTTCTCAGCTTCTAGTTTTTACAAAGAAGCGTTTCTTATATATATTTATTTCTTATATATATTTCTTACGTTAAAAATATATGTGTAGAATAAAAGCAGATTTGTTTTTGTCTCTGATCTTTAGTACCACTATCGTTTGAGTTAAGAGAATTTTCAAATGCTCAATCCTTCCAAAATCAGATGTACAAACTGCAGAAAACTTTATAGAGCTTTATATATAGATATAGATCTGTAGCCATCTTCCAGTTGCATAGGTAAATTATTTTAGCAGTGCAGTATATTGAAAAGAAATAGAAATAATCCTCATACTGGAATTTGAGAAATTAAGTACAGCTTGAAATTCTTGTCATGATTAAACTTTCATGCTTACATGTGTTTCCAGGTTGTATCTTTCTGATTCTTTAAATCAGTAGTATCAATTGCTTTCTCTTATGTTTTTCAAAGATAAATAAGAAGTATTTTCTTACAAATTTTTCTTCATTTTATTCATTTGTGTCCTTTAGGTGGAATCTATGGCAACAGCACCACCAGAAGGCAGCTTTTTGTGTATCTTTAATTTTGAAATACCTTTGATGTTTTGCAAGGCAGGGCAGGGTATAATCATGTTAGATAGTGCATTTATGTATCAAAGTAATATTCTATATACAAACCACATTCTAAGTGAGTTTAATTTTTTTTTATCACTTAACCATTTTTAGCCTGATTTTCAGAATCATTGAGAAGTGTCATGTTACTGACTTTAATGAATTGAGAAACCCTTGTGAATGTAAAGGCACATAGATCAATCATATTATTGAGCTACAGTTAGAACAGATGTCCTTAACAACTACAAAACAGATACACTAAAATTTTGGATTTATATTCTATGATAGTCTACCAAGAACTGAGTATATGCTGTCAGGAGAAAATGTTGAAATGTAAGTGGTTTAGCTGCTGCTGTAAACTATGACAGCCAAAAAGGAATAAAATCACTTTGAATATTATACATTAGCTAGTATAGCCTCAGTTATACATATGAAAAACTTCTACTTTAAAATAGGTTTACTTTGAAGGAGAATTGTAAACCCTTGTAAAATGTGTGTGGGACACAGTTTCAATTCAAAAATATGTGTTTGTAGAGCTAAATATTTCTAAATATTTTATTTGACCATGTCTTACCTGAATGTTTTCTTAAATCTTAAGACCTATGAAAATTCATGCTAGATTTGCAACACTATGAAAGACACAGTTCTGTATATTGCAGAATGTAATGTGAAGTTTATACTCACACATATATACATTATCCAAGAAAATTTGCAAAGCTTACAAAACATTTCTGTTTAAACACCTTGCTTTATTTTAGAGATCTTGTGAGACTTTCTTGCCCTGTCAGAGAACTGGCCCATTCAGCTTCTTGGATAGTTGTTTCCACACTTCAGACACCAATTCAGGCACAACACAAACATTTTGGAGAAAGATCTATAGGAGAATTCAGGATACCTTACTACATATGGTCCCTGTTTCTCCTCAGAAATTCAAAGAAGGAAGATTCTCCTGATTGCTCACTGATATATCCTGGAAGCTTGTAGTGATATAATGTTGTATTAGCAGAATCCAAATTATTCCCACCACTGAAACTTGTCTTTCAAGTAAGGAGTACTCACAGAGAAGGAAGATTACTTGTTCCACAAGCAACTTCCTAAACATAAATTCAGTTACATAAGTCTTGATCTGAAAAATATTTGAAATAGTACTTCCAGGCTCATACCTAATTTGTGGAAGGTCTTTTGGCCTCCTTTGTGAGTCTTCAGAGAAGAAAGCCACTTAACACAGAAATGGTCTGGCAGAACTGAAGTCTGACAGACAAGAGGAGTGTTATTTAAACCCAGAATTATGCCAACTGTGAGCTCAGTTTGACAACCCCTGGAGGGATCTGTTCACATCAAGTCAAATTGCAAAACTGAGGAAGAGTATTCTTTACTATGAAATGAGACTAAAAATTATTTAGACAGATATTCTGGTTCATAGACTGACTAATTCACTCTCTGTCTTGTCTTCATCTTCCACTAGCTATCATCTGGGAATTGTACTATCCACCACCAGGCAGTGAATCATATTTGGTAGTAATTAGGATGTCATTCATCCTGAACATATATTTTACTAAATCCCTTTCCATTTTCTGAAACCAGGAGGACATACTCATTTTTAGATTAATTTTTGGTTTTAAAAATCATTTAACAACACTTTTTATTATTTTAGCATTTAATGTACTACATTGAACAAGTATTGTCAATGTATGCTTACATTTTCACTTCTTTTGCATTTCCTCCAATGATTTGTTTAGAACTGCTTTTGAGGTGTGTGATAATGGCAGGGAGAGTCTCTTCTGGTAGAACCACATATATTCTGGGACAAAATGTATTTGTGGATTTTAGAATTCTTGAATTTTTACATCAGTTTATGAATATTGATTTTTCTTGCAAATAACTCTTTTTAATGCCATAAACCAAATGTAGTTTGAAACTTTTGGGCTGTGTGCTTACAATGGGTAGGTAAGGTTTGACTGGGAAATTATCATGGCTTGTATGAATATTCATACAGTTCACTCTTAGCTACTCATGAACAGCTTAATCCAGGCTTCAAAGCTGCAGTGCCATGGAGAATCATATGTGCTTCAGTAATCTTCATTTGGGACTGCTAAAATTACTGTTACTGCTTATTACCTGGTCTGCCAGCCCTCTTACCTCTCCCTTGGTGTTTTCTACTCTTCAAAATGGTTCATTCTGCACAGATGCTAACAAGATTTTCTTCCTCATGCTTTGTACAAATGTTCAATCCATACTCTTCTGTCATACCAGACTTTACCACCCTCCATCTCTGAAGTCTCCTGACTGTCCCAACACTCTCACAGGCAGCAGCTAAATAACTGTGTGATCACCTCTTTAACTCATATGTATTTCCACCCAGACAAAAATCATCTTTAAAGCTGTACTTTTGTACAGTTAGGACCAGAATACCCATTTTTAATTTCAGAGATAAGAAAAAAGTCTATAAAATTCTAATATCAGAAGCTGCAAATGTATATGCTCACACCAGATCGCTGACATACTTCTAAACAATCCATTATTTTTGTTTTCCACAGCCCGTCAGTCAGCAACATCACTATCAGAAAGAAATGAGCCCACTTTCTCATTCCAGCCCACGGTAAGATTCCATTTATAGCCCAGGCAGTAAGGATTCAGTTAGAGTGTTCTGAATATTAAATGTGACACTCTTTGATTTAATCTTCAATCTCTTTTCAATTGCAACCTCCTCTCAGAGGGCTTTATTGCTCGTTTTAGTCATTGTCTACAGTATGTCTGAGCTGTCTGGGAACACAGAACTGAATTCTGCATGTTTTGGATGTACCACCGTGTATTTAAAGTATCTGACACAGGCCTTGCTCCTGCATCTGCTTTGATGTGTGATTCAGCAAATCGTCCTCATCTCACATACATACACTCTCATCTATTTCTTTCTCCCTCCCTGCTTTGAAGGCTTAGAGCTAGAATTCTGTATGTGACTGTAGGTGTCAGGGAATCAATTGGTTCCAAAAGATTTTAATGCTGCTTATTAAGTAAGGGGTTTTTTCAATAGATAGCCCAGTTAGGAGAGGGGGTTACAACACTCTGGGAGAGAGCAAAGGGATCCTGTCTACAGCATATTTTGTGTGTCAGATTTTTAGCTTGATCTGTTTTGTTTGGAATCGGGAACAAAATCCCTGTGAATTCAATGTAAGGTGAGATGACAAGGGGAGAAGGTGGCTAAGGAAAATTAATCACATTGAGACTGTTGAGACAATCAAGATTAATTGTCCAGTTTCAGACCTACTTTGTACCTGTGAAACTCTAACATCACTTTGTCAATTTTTTAACTGCCTGAACAAGAGGTGTACTAATTTTTAAAAGCAGTCCTATTTCACTTTCACTTGGTGTCATTAATGTGGATTTTGCTTGTCCAAGTTTTAACTGGATGATGTATGTGTGTTGGGGGACAGGGATAGGAGGAGAGAACATTTCAGTTACAACTTCTTTATATTTTACCAACAGTCTGAAATGTTTTCTGAGAGCTCTCTGTCAGTCAGTTGTGCAGGATAATGTGTTTCTCCTCACACAGATGTTTTCAGCCACTTGTCTCACTGGATTCAAGATCTTCTGATTAAATTTTATGAAGTAAACCATCTGAAATTTTCTGTGCAAGTTCACCCAGTTGCATCAGTTATTGCAAGACACAGCCATATATTTCCAATATATTACTGGAGTTAAATAATCCTGGATTCCTGTTCCCTTTCACATGTAAATCAAGGTACTTATGTTTGTCTAGAAGACCTCTCTGCCTTGAGTGTGGTTGTCTAAGGAACCATCTCCTTATAAGCTGGATGGATGAATGGAGGAAGTGGACAGAGATAATTGACTACAGTCCACAGAGTACAGCAGGAGGTGCCTTGAGACAGAACTTTGGACTCTTTATTCCAAAATTGATTTTATAGTTCTGATGACATTATAAGTGCCTATATTTTAGTGCAAGCTACATTGTCTTCTTTTTCCCCATATGTTGGTTAAGTCAAGTTTTATTACATTATTTTTATGCATGTGCTAAAGCAATTTGGTACTTGGTACATTTTATATACTGGAAAAACAAATAAACACCATTATCTGTAAAAAGAAAGTGTTTCATCATATCAAGTTAATATGATCAACAATGAAAACTTGTCTTTCCATATAATAAAATTTAAAATAGTATAATTTATGACTTAGTTCTTATGCTATTTTAATCCAGTACACAAAGTAGACTTAAATTTCCCTAGAAATCATTTTCGAGGAATGCAGGTGGTATTCATAAAGTACCTGACTTGCAAGTGCCTCATAAATTCAGTAACCCTTGTGAACTGCCAGAAAAGCATTATTGGGCTGTAAATACAGAAAATGACAAAATTATGAGGTCAGTTTGCATCATGATATAAAAACTGGAGAGGATGTGACTTGAATACTATTATTCACATCGTTACCTTTCATGGTAATGGAAAACTGTAATGTTTTTCACAGAGGATTTGTACCTAAATAAGGAGGAAATGAAATTAATGGCAATTCTATAACTTAGTTCCTAAACTGTTTTAAAGGCAATTTTAACAAATCCTGTATAAGCAACTAGAAAATGTCTAAAACTTTCTAAGCCTACTATAGCTTTGTAGGGAACACATGGAGTATTTGAAATACAGCCCTTTTAGGTGTGTGAGTGTAAATGCTATGGTAGAAAGACAGTTACACAGTGCATTTACTGAATGAACAAATAGGTTTTTGTAAAGAGGGGTAAAGAACAGGTCTTGAGAGTAATTTTTAAAAGTGTAGCAGTGATATCTTCTGGGAAATGAAAAGAAACCATGTAGGAGCTATTGTCCAGTAAAATGTAGGTTCTGTCCATAATAAGATAAAAGGACAAGCCAGGAAAGAAAGCCTGTGAGGGTAATGGAAATTCAGTCAATAAAGAGACTCAGCTCGACTCATTGTCCATTGGTTCCGCTGGGTAAAGGTCATAACTCTGCCAAGAATATTGCTCCTTCCTGCCATAGAAATCAGCCCAGCTGGGGCTGCTCTGCAAGGCAGAGAACCAGTTAATGAAAGGAGACAGCTGAGGCTGCAGGGCCAGGAGAGTGAGGTGATGTGGGTGTGATGGCCCTGCAATTCCCAAACTGATGTGCTGCTGGCAGAACTCGGGAATTGCTTTCCTCTCTGCACACAAGGAGCTGTAACTGTCTGTGTTGCTTCTTCTCCAGTGCAAGGACTACATTTTGCAGTATAACCAGCATCTACTTAGTTAGATTTTCTCCTCCAAACTATTTGTGTGTCATAGAAGGTTTGGAAGTTTCACTGAAGGAAATCCTGGAAGACAGAAAGTGTTCTAGGATTTCAGCCATACAGAGCTGCTCTCTGAAAAAGATCACTTGAACCTAATTTATTAAAAGACTTTTATAAACTTGTACAGAGGCTCTCCAGAAAATTTATTTCTGATAAAATATTGGTTTTCTGCCTTAGAGAAAGGTTTCAACTTATTGGAAAAACCCTATCTTCATAAACATTGCCTCACTAGTTCCTGTCTTGGCATCCTACTCTACTCTTCCCAAACTACAAATAAAATTTGTTCCTCTTGTTCAAACAGTTGTTCCACAGAAACTGCACTAAAGTAGGGCACAAATATTTCAACATTTAATTGAGTATCCTTTCACTAGAAGTATATTTTACTTAAATAATTTTGTGCCAAATATGCACAGTTAATTTTCAATTAGGTTTTATCCAGATATTTCTTTTTCTGTTTCTTCTATCTAAAATTAGCTGCTAAGTTCTACAGCCTCTGACAAATGATTAAGAGCCATTGACCTCCCTTCATGTGGGCTTGGTATGAGCTGACTAATGCAGGTTGTCTTGTCATTGTAACCTACATTTGTTAAGTCAGACTGATTGGGATGTCATCGTTATTCTTTCCTCTACAATCAAAAAAACCCAAAAACCTAAACAATGCAATCGACCCAAGGAAAAGTAAATAACATTTTCATCCCTTTTATGGTAAATGCTATAGATTTGAGATTTGTCACCACAAAATGTTTCACTGATATGAAGAGTGGTGTGTTTGAGGAGGACAATAACTTCTAAAAAAAAAAAGTTGTTGGTTTTACCTCAAGGAAAAAAAAAAAAAAAAAATAATCCAAATCCTCAGTTGCTACTTTATCCAACAATGCAATTTTCTTATTTTTATAATGATATGCCTGCACAGCACTTCAGGTAATGAATCATGAGATGCATAAACACGTACCTTTAACTAAAAGTGTCTTTTGATGACTGGTAAAATTTAGGTATGCTAGGTATAAATATAAATTATATGTAAATATAATGAACACCTCTTTCTGTTCATTCTGAACACTCTACAGGTTTTAGAGAATAAATTATTTCTCTTTCTTTGAAATTTTCTTCTAGAAAAAATGTCTTTTTTCAGAGCCTATGGCTACCATATATATTGCCATCATCATGGTAACATACATTTGCATAATTTGCATAATATCAGTGATTCCAGCATAAAAAACCCATCAACTGTAAACTTTCAAATATTGAAAGTATCTTCAGCTTTGAGACTACCATTCAAGCACTCTCATCCACCCCAGATGAAAACTAAACATTCCAATAGCTGCTGCACGTGTTATTATACCATTGAGAGATTCTGTAAAATTAAACTCACCCATGAAATGGTGCAGTAAAAGAGGGATCGCAGCTATAACATTTATTTGCACTACACCAGAACCTCTCCCTCATGCAGGGTGTGAAATTCAGGCACAAGACGCCTTTGTATTTCCATGCAAAGGTTTGAATAGCAGAATAACTTAGTTAAGAAGCACATGTAAAGACTGAGTTTTTCAAAGAAAGAAGCATATTTATTCTTATGATTCATGATAAGATCATACAACACCATTACTTCTGCACAACAGACAATATTATATTATGAAGTAGTGTAAAATTACACAACAGTTGTCAAAATAAGTGAACAAGAACAATGCATCACAAAAATGTACTTTGGTTTTTATTTTACTTGTTCAGTTACTTACCCACAAAATAGAGTAATTTGCAGTAGATGTCCCAGTCGTTAATCTGAATTAGCAAAGTTCTGCTGCTTTTGTCAGGCAATAATGTGCATGAAAAAGAACATGACAAAAGAAGCAAATGGCACAGGAACCATCTAATTGAACAGGTTACATTTTTTAATCATGATGCTAAAAAGCTTAGCTGCAGAAAGGTTATGGGACCAAGTAGCTAACATGTTAAAGCTTGTTAAAATAATCCAAAAATGGCTTTCCATTTTTTTGGAATCTAAGAACATGGAAACGTGACAGCATATGCACTAAGGATTTAAATATAAAGCATGGCAAATACTTTGAAACATGCTGTTACATCCATGTCAATGTAAGGTAGTCTATTTTTTCTTGTTCTTCTTCTTTTTAATTTTAGTTTTTATCTTCAGGATTTACCAAGAATAATTTTAGGGGTTGCACCTTTTTCTGGGTATTCTTGGGCCATTCAAACAAAGGCTGAGCTTATGTGTAAGGATGAAGAACAGGCAGTAAAAGATTTTACCTCTCAGACATGTCAGATGGAAAGGACAAGACCCCTGTTCCCAGGCTG